CCTCCTTTTCCTCCCTATTCCCCATCAGACTCTCTCCCCGTTTCCGTCCTCTCCTGCTACCCTGGTCTCTATGCAATTCTTAAAACAGGCCAGGCCACTCCTGCCTTAGGGCTTAAGGCCATCTGCCCTGGTAGTTCCTCTTTCTCAAACGCTTTCTCCCCAGATGTCCCCACCCTTACTTAAAGTTCTTGTTCAGATGTCACCTTCTCAATGAAGCCCACTCTGAGGAGCCTATTTAAAGTCGCAACTGCACCCTACCCCATTCTCCCTGCTCTATTTTCCACAGTACTGATCACTTTCTAATATACTATACTTCCAATACTTCTTATTGCTTCTTATTGTCTTTCTTTCTCCCCACCACTCCCACTAAACTGTAGCTCCCCAAGGGCAGAGATTTGTAATATTCTGTTCACTACCTAACAAATATTTGTTGAATGAAGACAGCCATTTCCTGAGGTACTTTGAATCCCAAAATTAAATTCATAGCACCATCTAGTGTTCTTGGAAGGATGTGCTGATTAGCTCAGACTTACGTGCATTAGCCATGGGATAAACAGTATTGGTTTAATTAATTCTCAGTTACTCTGTTTTTTAATGCTCTCTGTGGTTCTCTAAAAATTAAAATGTTTTCAAAGATTAAACAGTCATAGGACACATTGACTTCTCTAAGAGCAAATTCTCCTCTGAGCTGCCTGTTGCTCCCCAGAATTCCTGTCGGGGTAGGAGTGTCATGAAGGTCTTCTGTCTTTTAACCTTAGGGTATCTCCCCTCCCCATTACCAAAAAACAAAAAACAAAAACAGGGTAATAGCTTTTGTTGTTTTTTTTTTTTTTTTGAGGAAGATTAGCCCTGAGTAACATCTGCCACCAATCTTCCTCTTTTTTGCTGAGGAAGACTGGCCCTGAGCTAACATCCATGCCCATCTTCCTCTACTTTGTATGTGGGATGCCTGCCACAGCATGACTTGACAAGCAGTGCGTAGGTCCACACCCAGGATCCAAACTGGCAAACCCTGGGCTGCCAAAGTGAACCTGTGAACCTAACCCCTGCACCACCAGGCCAGCCCACCGTTGCTGTTTTGGCACCTCTATCTTTTCTCCAGAATATCAAAATACATACTTATTGATTTTTAAATTTTTGTTTTGGCCACAAAAAGTCCCCGAATCAAACTGATAAAACGCTAACAAGGGTAATGGTAATATTGCTTAAAACAGTATGAGGATTCTCTAAGATAATCAGCACAATCTTCTTATTTAGAAAATATTGGTTTGTTTAGAAATGATAAAAAGGGAAAAATGAAGAAAATGAAAGCTGCCTTAAAAGCATTAAATATTTAACTGTAAATAATGAAAAGAATAACTAGCTAATTTTTATTGAATGCTTATTGTACCCAGCACTATTCTGAAAACTCATTAATCATCTTCATAACCTTATAATGTAGGTTCTCCATATTAAGGCTCATTTTTCAGATGATGGAATGGAGAAACAGACAAGTGAAGTAACTTGACTAAGGTCACAGAACTAGGAAAAAGTGGAGCCAGGATTCAAAGCCAGCTAGGATGGCTCCAGAGTCCATGTCCATGAGCTCATGCCCACGCTTTCATCCACCTCCCACAGAAACAGGAAAGATGCTGCTTTGTTTCAAAGTTCTTGGCCTGGCCAAAGAAATTCATATACTAATATCTTCTTCCAAAAAAGGAATCAAGGCAACCATAAAAGAAACTAAGGCATATACAATATTTTAGAAATAAAGTTTTATTCTTTTTATAGTTAAAGTAGAAGCTACAGAAATTGCTTTCATTCTAAGGATGCTGTTGCAAAGAGCAGAAGCAACATTAATATCACAGTCAAAGGCAGAGGATAGTTTGCAGTGCCACAATGAAGAATTCGTTGGTCCTTTTTGCAACCTCTTTTTGCAACCCCCTCCTCAGAACTTTTGATTCTGTCCACCAATTGCCCAAAGCTTCCCCACTACCTCTACCACTGGCTCTAATGTTTTAAAGTGGTTGGAAGGGACTCAATTTCCCAAATTACCAATAAATACACTAATTTCCTTAATTTGGTTTATCTCATCTGGATGTTAAGAAAACAATTGAATTATCTGTTAAAGTGAATCCCATTAAGGAGAGTTTTATTAGGTAACAGGTAGAACTGTTTGCGTTATACATTGTATTCTTAAAAGGAGTATGAATTCCGCAGAATTTCAGAATGATGGAGACTTTCAGAGGATATTTCTGAGTAGGAGGCTCCCCAGGCTCTCCAGGTGATTCTGGAAATGGTGCCCCTCTCACTGTCCTCAGCTGGAAGCTAGAACTCCTTTCCTAAATGTTTACTTGACTCTTCAAATTTTCTAAAACACAAGGTTATCTGGGGGAAGCAAAATGGTTATTCTCCACATTGGGTAGAGCTTTTCAATATGTGCTTTGAGGACTACCTGCTTTGGACTCACCTGGGGAGATTCCCACCCCATCTCTGACCAATGGCATCAGAATCTTCCAGCTGGGCTCGTGAATCTGTATTCTAACAACCCGCCCCAGATGACTTTTACGTGTGCATGAGTTGGGTAACCACTAACCTAGGGGGATAATTTTGAAAAGTAAAGCACCAGCGTCATTTGGGTTGTTGGATTCCTTCCTACTATAGACCACAGACTAGAACTTAAAGGAGTACCATGTAAAAACCTAATTAGAAGAAGATCAAATATAATTTTAGGAGACTAATAATTATCAAATCTATTTACAAGATTGTATGTCCTTTTGTTGTAAATTATATGTGCGAAACATCTCAATGAATTATATGTGTGAAACATCTCAAAGAATTCTTTGGTGGATGTTGTTTAATCCTGCCTTGCCTTCCATAAAATTAACCAGCTCGCCAAAGTTTTTACTATGCTACCCACACAAGTCTCCAGTAACCCCTGAGGCACTCTCTGAACAAGCCTCATTTCCTGTATGAAAGGACCTCAGTTTGGTCAACTGTACAGAACTGAGGTTGATTAGACCTAAAGTGGTTACCAAAGGAGATGATAATTCTGCAGTTTTAGAATAGGAAATATGATCATCTTTTCGGATGAGCAGATTGTACAGTAACCTAAAGCTAGAGGATCCAAATAGAAGGCCTTTTAAGATCCTTTCTAGTTTTATAATTTGACTAAACTGCCTCTCCATCCAGTTGAATGTCAACCTGTTTTTGTTTTGTTTTTTAACCAGCCGAGCCCGGCAAGAATTCCTTGCCCCTCTCTGATAATATAATAGTCTCTTGAGATCTTTTACAAAAATCCAGGTCAGATGCACATAACATACAAGGAAGGAAACCATTTAACTTGATGATAATACCCTACCCAGATAATTCAGATACCTAACAGAATTTTTCACTCAAATTACTTGGTTTGGCCAGGTTAACTGGCCAAACCCCTTCAGTTTCACCATATAATTGCTTTCTTACACTTTGTTTTCTTACTTCTGTTTTCACTTACTCATTCTTATCAATTGCCATGACCTTTCTTCTTCACTTATAATCTGAATCACAACCTTCAACCAATGAGGTCATGTACCTTGAAAGTCTCCCTTCTTTAGACCCAGGTTGCATGCCACTGTGCTGACGGAGTAGAAAAGAAATATCAAAGGGCAGAGTAAGGTCGCTAGGATCTGTACAATGCTGGGTACATCTAAGCAGCTGGGAACCAGTAACATTATGTAAGAACTGACTCCAAACCACCTTTCAAAGACTAGAGATCTCTTCCAGAGGGTGACCAGTTGATAAACACTCTAAGGGGAGAGCTCTTATTTAAAGCTTATAACACTAAGGATAATTCTGTGAAACTATATTGCAAGTCTACCTAATAAAACTTTTCAAACCTGATTTTATCCAACCTTCAAGAGCTCATGGGAAAATCTAGTATTCTAGATTAAAAGATGTAACTTCCATTCCTGGTACTGTATTTTGATTTGTTCCAGTACACCTGTAGAACCAGGCAACTAATAATCTATACTCGGCACTTCTTCTATTTCTTGAATGAAAATAGGATGGATTGGTGGGATTAATGGCTAGATTTTTAGAAGCCACTGGTGATTTTGCCATTTTCCCTGTACACTGACGAAAACTTCCTATAACTCTACAGAGAAATAAACGAGTCAGTGTGAGGTTGGGGAAGACGGGCAAAGAGGCAGGTGTTCTAATCCAGATGAGGTTCTGGAAGTAGAGCTTTCACTTTAGAGGCTGAAGAAGCTATTTCAAGCTTCTTTCAAAACTTTTTCACCTGACAGAAATGCTAATTAGTTACCAACATACTTAACCAATGTACCCTGACTTTTCAAAAAACGTTTTCAATGGCGACATAAAGAAATATAGAAGTCTGAATTGCGGCGTGCTAGTCCTTCCAGGCCAGTAAGAATTGATGAATCGGCCACAAAATCACGTGTTTTTAACTGAATATACTGAAATCCAAGTACCGAGAAAAATTATTTCGAGTCCACGGTCCACGAATTTACCGGAAAATCCTCTTAAGAACATAATGTAGGATCCCACAGACATCTGAGTTAGCGGGCACCATTCTGCTGCGGGTGGGGGTGGGGGAGGTGGGTACTGGACGCTTCGGGCAGGGTTGGGAAGGTTCTAATTTGAGGATACTAAAGAAAGACGCCAGCCGTAGAGCCTCTTCCAAGGTCTCCGACGAAAAACGTGGCGGAGACGTAAGACCCTCCCGAATTCCCCAGGCTGGTCCTCACTCGAGGCTCTGGTTCTCGGAGACACACGCCGTGCGGAGAGACAGACGTTCCCCTACGATCTACCTCCCGACGCGGGCCCACACAGTAGGTGCTAGCTGCGCGAAGGCCGCGCCGCCTCCACCACCCCCGAGGCCGGCGCTCGCCACGGTAACCTCCCGGCCGGCCCCGCCGCGCTGACGGGCGTCGCCGCGAGCCAATGGGCGCGCCGGGAGGCGGGGCAGGGAGGGCGAGGGGGCGGGATTTCCCGCGGGGCCGCTCGGCGCCTGGTTAGGGCGGCACGGGTGGCGACGGCGGCAGCGCCTGCGAGAGAGGGCGGGCCCGGGTCAGCTGCTGCAGGCGGGCCGGCGCGTCTCTTGCCGCCGCCCTCCTTCCGCCACGATGCCGGGGATCGACAAGCTGCCCATCGAGGAGACGCTGGAGGACAGCCCGCAGGTGAGGTGCAGGCGGCGGCCGGGGAGGGGGCGGGGCGGGCCGCCTCCAGGCCTTGCGCCGTCGCGGCCGCAGGTGCCCGCCCCGGCCCAGGTGGGCTTCGCCGCCCAGCGCCCCCGCCCGTCGCGGGCCGCACCCCGAGCCGCCGAGGCCGGGCCGGTCGCCCGAGGCCCGCGTGGGCCTGCGCGGCTGGGCGGAGAGCTGCGCGCCGACTCTGGAACGTCGGCGGGCGGCGACCGAGCCGCCGCCGCCTTGGTTCGTGGGCCCAGCGTTCACGCACGCGCGCGGGGCTCCCTTGTATTTGACCAAAGGTGCGTTTTTATCGCCGTGAGGTGAGGTAATAAATCCTGATCTTGGAATTTTCGCCCCGAAAACCTCTTAGGAGAATAAAGCCCGGTAGACTTAATAATTTCTGAACAAGCTAGGGAAGGAAACGGATAGTTTTCATTCGGGAGATGCTGAAAGGCTGTTGATTTGCCCGTGTGGGGGGGTCATCGGCGAAGCCCGTCGTGGGTCCCGGAGCCTCCCCGCCGAGTGTGCCTGGTGTCGTGCCGCGACTGCAGCCGCTGTCACTCGGGCTGTGCGCGGCGGGTGATGGACGGCGGCCTCGCGGCTCCAGCTCGTTGCAGACTTGGCCCTAATAAACTCATCAAAATAAAAGCCCTATGTTTTGTGTTCTGTGCATTGGGGATGATGCTAGTGGGGTTGCTCTAGCCTCAGACAGTTGAGGAAAACGTAACTGTTAGGTTTTCAATACTAAAGAATGAAATCAGCAATATTAGTGGGGGCTGTAACTTGCGTTGAGACACTTCATCCCTAAGCCTGTCTTTTACACAATAATTTAAGCAATTTAAGACGATGTTGTTGATTGGCTACCACTTAGAATGAAGTAAATTTTCTGAAATGCTCATTTAGAAATAGAATTGCACGATTTCATGTGTCGTAACTGTTTGGTATGGCCCCCAAAATTAGGAGGAATAGGCTACATCCCCGTCTTCTGGATGACACATCTGCCATGGATTTTGTGCCAGTTTTAACTGCAGAGTTGAAATTGGGCTCTGATTGTGGAATTGATTTGTTTTTTCCTGCTGAAAGTTATCTTCGCATACCAGTTGCCTGCTGGTAATTTACTCTTATCAGCCTCTACTGACACACAGAAACCTACATCTTGGCTTGTCTTGACCGCCAGAATAGCCAGTTCAACTTCTTAATGATTTCTATAGTATAAAGTTATAAGCTGTTTGTTTCAGATGTTTTGCAAAAATGTTGTGGGATGTATTGGTCAGGTTCCCTGTGTCATTTCACTTTTTTATTATGTTAAGACTCAACAGATTGCCTTGCTTTTCTCCTGTTATCTGGCCTGGTTTTTATAGCCGGTAAAGACTACACAGCTCAGAACGGGTTGACAGTGCCCCACCCAGGACTTCTGAGGAGGATATAATCTCTTGACTTATCTATTTTGATGAACTTTTCACGCAAGAGTTTACAATTTGAGCATTAATTGTGTTTTTTTACAAGCGTGTACTGTATTAGTATCAGTTTTGCAGTAATTTTTAATGAAATAGCCACATTGGTATTCTTTCAATTTCTAGATGTAATAAATTTGAACTAGGTAATATTTACTTGGGAAAATTGGTTGGGACCACTGGGATTTAGAAAGGGAAGACGCTTGTAATTCTTAGCGCGAACCTGTGGCAGGATGGAAAGCGCTGGATCTGGGATTCAGGATATAAGGGGTTTTAGTCTTCACTGCCACTTAGTACCCTTTGCTTTAGGGCAAGTTACTCAACTTCTCTGAACCTGACCTGTCATAGATAGTGAATGTTTTTATTTTTGTATCTGATTATAAAAACAGAGTTGTTTGCTCCAGAAAAATTGAAAGGTACAGAAAAGAAAACATAGTTACCTGGCATGCGCCCAGCAGCAAACCCTGTTAACGGTTTGCTTTCTTCTTTTTAGGTTTTTTTTCTCTTACACATTTTAATGTAATTGAGGTTATATTGTGCATAACAATTTCTATTTGGCTTTAACTTAACATTTTAGCTTAAGTATGTTCACATATTATTACATTCTGAATAAAAAAATTTAAAGATTGTATGTTTCCTTAACTGACTTAACAGTTGTCCTATTGTTGGACTTTTAGAGTTTTTCTCAAGTATTGCTTTTTATGTATAGGGCTGAGATTAATGCTTTTGGGCATAAATTTTTGTTCTCATTGGACTGTTTATCTAGGGTAGAGTCCAAGAAATTGAGTAATGAAGAGCATGAAAACTTTTAAAACTCCTGATATGGCTAAGTTTCTATTAGATCATTTGATTCTAGTCAAAAGTAGCCTGCCAGTTGCTATGTAAAAAAGTTAGAGCCTGGGAACCATGAAAGACTAACTTGAATTACAGTTATCCTTTTTTAGTCTTGGTTTACAGTAACTAAGTATTAAAATAGGGGGAAATTTGCAAGTCTAAATCCACCTATTGGAACATAAACAGCTTTAGAGTTATCTTGCCCAAACCATACCATTCTGCAAAAGATCATAGCATCTTTTGAGGCAGAAAATTTTAAGACTACACTAGATGCCTTGTCCATGCTTATATATTGTGTTAAAAATCAGAAACAAAATGACGCTTCCTAATTATTAACAGGTATGATCTTTAAAAAATAATTGATTTTATGTGTAGATATATATCTTATCAATGATTCATCCGTGCTAGAACTGTGAAGACAAACTCCAATCCCACATGGAGGCTTGTTTCTTTGGCATAAAATGAAATACTCATAGATTATGAGACGTGCTTTTTTCCCCACATTTTAACATCACTGATATTGAGATGACCCTAAAAGTTGATAATGTTTTACTCGTAATCGGTTGCAGATGTACACACTTGATTGTTTCTCCTAGTGGCATAACTACCCAATTGTACCCTCTCAGTGTTCAGCCAACAGATCAGTTTAACAACCACTTGAAGGATGTATCAGTCCTGTGTGTTGTCTGAAAATATTCCTTTGACACCTGATGAGATGAAGTGAGTGCCACCATTGTACCTGCTGAATGGGTATTGATGGTTTGGAAGAAAATAATTGGGGGCAAAAGTGAAGCACTTCTAAGGAATATTTGTCACCTCCTCATGGCAGAGAATAACATTGGCTAAGAAAACATGGATATTGATGACTTTTGTGTTAAAAAGTAACGCACAAGAGTTGAACTCTGAAGAAATTTTAGGATTGTATTAAATTTATGCTGCTTGTGTTTTCCTTTTTATGTTTATATGAGAGTTTTATATGAAATTCTATATAAAGATCTGCTTCCATAAATATAAAGTTTCAAGACATAAGCAAACCTTCAATCATAGCTTAATTGCCAGCATTGTTTTGTTTGTTTTAGTAGTATAAAAAAATGGTGCAGCTCTCAGAGGATGCCATCATAGGTTCAAAGAAATGGTACCCTATTGATGGTGTTTTTTGTAAGCTGCTAACTTTAAATGGTCATATACAGTGTTGAACTTGACATTAGCTTTAAATAGGGAACCTGTTTCAACCTCATTTAGGGCTGAGAAGATCTTTTAAATTTAGTTCCACTACAGCTTATTGCATAAATGTGTAATTCCTTGAATTCGAATGATAATTTTTGGGGAAAAAAAATAAAACTAAGTGGCAGGTTTTTCTTAAGAGTGGCACTAGCCAGGCAAGATTTCTTGATGCTTTCTTTTCTGCATCTTAAGACAGCACTTTGGGGGAATGGGAGTCGGGCACTAGAGCTAAAAAATAAAAAGATTCTGTTAGATCTCCATCTCTGGGGCATGGGGAAGTAGAGGACTGAGAATGTGGACCTCATATAGTGGCATAATGATTTCATGGGTTTTTTTAGCTTCCTCTTCTGAAAATAGGAAGCTAAAGAATAAGTTGATTTTTAAAAACCAACTTCTAAGGCTCAGGCATAAATTAACTATTTGTAGAATAAAAATACAAGGTCATCTTTTAGATTTTAAGCTACAGTTATCTCAATAGTTATTTTAATTTTTCCCATGCCTTTGGTATATAAAAAGCTAAGCATATCTTGCCTTGATACGCTGAGTTTCCTTATCTCTGATCCTTTTTATTGACCGTCTTAACATTTACTTACTGACAAGTTTTTCCCCCTTAACATGAAGATATTTTTTACATGCTATTTGGAAAAAAAAATGCCTAACAATATAAAAATGTATAAAGAAGAAGAAGATGAAGAAGAAACAACCTGAAATTCTGCACTCAGAAAAATCTAGTTAGCATTTTATAGGCCATGTTGGGGAGGGGTACTATGGTATTATTTTGGATTATGATGGGAGGGGTTTGGCACTACTAGAAGAGACCATAGAAGAAGAGAAATCATACTAAGTTATCCTGAAATAAGACATTTCAAATATTTAGACATGGAATACTGTTAATTTAGGCCTGAACATTTCTACTGATTTGTTTTCAGTTTAATTACAGACTTTTTAATTCATAAAAATATACCTTTGTTGCTCTTTCTAAAGTTTATGTGATGTAATTGGAAAATCCCTCTGTTTTAATGAAGTGAAATCGAGAACAAAGAACCCCAACATCTTGGCATTACTATCAAAGAGAGAGACTAGATTACAACTCAGTATTATTAGGGCTTTAATATCCTAGGAGTTTTCCTTTTTTAAGATTTTTAAAAATTTTTTCCATCTGATTTATGTAATGGTTAACATAAACATACTGCTTTTATTTTATACAGACAAGGTCTTTACTGGGTGTATTTGAAGAAGATGCTACAGCTATTTCCAATTATATGAACCAGTTGTATCAAGCTATGCATCGGATTTATGATGCACAGGTAAAAAGCTAAAGGCTGAGTCAGTGCTTCTTAAAAATGAATCTGTAAGCCCCTGAGGACAGAGATAGTATCTGTCTTATTTGCTGGTGTCTAGCCCTGTTCTGGGTTCATAGTAATAAATATTTGTTGAATGGATGAAAGAACACTAAGTATTTTGTATTGCAGAGCTCACATTTCAGTTACTAGTGTATAGTTTGTAGCACTACAAAAGTGATGAAGATAGAAGCATCTGCCCATTCTCCCCAAATACTGTAACAGCTTTCTTTTGAAATTCACTGATAGTCATATTTGCCTAAGTTTTGACTGAAAATCCCATATTGTTATTGGTATGTTCTGTAATCGTGCTTTTAATCTTACGGAATACTTCCCCTTTTTGAGTGGAGGATTTGAAAGTAATGTATCTCTAGTTAGAAGAAGGTAATAAGAAGTAGATGCAGCTTTGGGGTATGAGGAGAGGGATTTAAGGAGGATGTGACTAGTTTTTTTTCTTGAATAGGCGTAAGATTTAAGGCTGTTTATGTAACTTAATTATAAGCCTTAATAGCAACCTGAGTTCTATGATAAACTTTCTTTGGGATTAATTAAGTCTACAAGTTGTATTTTTTTCCTCCTCATTTTCTCTCCTTTCTGGATCACAGTTTCATTATGTACTTACAAGTTGCTGTGATCATTATTTCTTTTCCTTGTGATCTCTCAAGATTTACTTTCTGACCACAGAGCTTAATATGTAAAAGAAATTTTATTTTTGTCATTATATTTCTTACTGAAAAAAACACTTTAAAAAAGTATTTCCTTCATATGGCTCTGTTGCTGTATTATATGACTAAGTTGACCATGGTTCAGTTGTATGTTATTAAATGCTTATCATGATCTAGTATCTAAAGAGAAGGATAATCAGTCATCAATCTAGAATCTCTTAAGATTTTGCTAAGATTATGTACAGTTTACTTCTAGCTTTAAAGCTTTAACAAAATTTAATGTTTAGTTTTTATTAGCTAAAAGAAGCACACACTTGGAACACTGCTGAATTCCTTGATGGTATATGTTTCATGGTTTGAGTTTCCCTTTAAAGTGCTTTAATGATAGTTCCCTTTCCAGTGATTTAATGAGTTTTAGAAAACATGTTGTACAGTAGTTATGTTAAGTGATAAATAAAAGTGGCGTAGGTATCTTCATCTAAAAGTATTTTCTTAATCAGTAATATTGTTTTAATTTGAATGCCAATTTTTTCCCATAGAATGAATTAAGTGCAGCAACACACCTGACTTCAAAACTTTTAAAAGAATATGAAAAACAGGTATTGTGTCTGAAACTTTTAAAAGCATAATTTAAAACATGCAGTGGTACAGTATCTGTATAGATAAATAGAATTTCTCATCAAGAATCCTAAGCTTTTTTGAATTTTGATATGCCATTGAAATTCCATTACAGCATTTATATCTAATTTTAATGATTTTTTTTTTTAAAGATTGGCACCTGAGCTAACATCTGTTGCCAGTCTTATTTTTTTCTTCTTCTTCTCCCCGAAGCCCCCCAGTACATAGTTGTATATTGTAGTTGTGGTCCTTCTGGTTGTGCTATGTGGGACACCACCTCAGCATGGCTTGATGAGTGGAGCCATGTCTGCCCCCAGGATCTGAACCAGTGAAACCCTGGGCCACTGAAGTCGAGCACATAAACTTAACCACTCGGCTACAGGGCCAGTCCCTAATTTTAATGATGTAATGTTAGATACAGAGGTTATCTAATTTACCTCTCTTCTTTTTACAAATGAAGAAACTGAGGCTTGGTCAAGGTTACACAGCTGGTTATTGGAGGAACTGGAGCTAGACACCAAATCTTTGAACTCCTAGAAGGGTGTGCATTCCTATATACTATGTTAGTTGGTTGCTTAGCAAACATTTTAATTAATGTTTTTTAATTATATGAATTACATTGTTTTATTGAAATGACATTTTTAAAACTTATTCAAAATTTTAAAAATTTCTGAAGTTATTTAAAAATGTAAATTATAAAATGTTATTCACAAAAGACATGCACCATTGGACCTTTACCTCACCTCTGTTTCTCACTTTTCAGCGTTTTCCATTGGGGGGTGATGATGAAGTTATGAGCTCTACTTTGCAACAGTTTTCAAAAGTTATAGATGAGGTAAGTGCTTATTTTATTTTTCTTGAATAAGAGGTCTTATAATTAAGTTACTCAAGTTGTTTAGCTTTTATTGGGGAGTTTTATTATATGAGTGAAGTTCTATTATAAAAGATTACTATTTAAAGAAGGACCTTATTTACACATGTTGGTGGCTGTATTGTAAAAACAATACTTTCTTTGTCTGATTAAAACAAATTGTTTTCAGAGAATAAGCATATAGGTATGGTCTTTTCTACTCCCAGTCCAATTTCTCTAACCACTCATCAGAACAAACCATTAAGAAAGCCCTAGAAGCTAGGAGGAAGAAAGGTGGTAAGAGATGTTTGGAGAGTCCATAACTTTTCTCCACTAGTGCAACGAATGCTCTTCTTTTCACATGAACCATTAGATACTTCTATCTTTTCTAGTCTAACTGGAAAAGTAATTTTTTGATATACTTTAATAATTCATTTTAGCAAAATTTTGTCCCAAGGGATCAATATGAAGAAATATTTGTAAGAAATGAAATTTTTTTTATTGTGGTAAAATATATATAACAAAATTTACCACTAGTGACGTTGTGTATGTTCCCAATGTTGTGCAACTTTCCCCACTGATGTTCCAGAACATATTCATCATCCTCCCAAAGGAAACTCTGTGCCTATTAACAGGCATTCCCCATGTCCTTGCCCCTCAGCTCCTGGCAACCACAAATCTGCTTTCTCTCTCTCTGGATTTGCCTATTTTGGATATTTGATATAAATGGACTCATACAATTTGTGGATTTTTTTTTTTTTTAAAGATTTTTTTTTTTATTTTTCCTTTTTCTCCCCAAAGCCCTCCGGTACATAGTTGTGTACTTTTAGTTGTGGGTCCTTCTATGTGTGCCGTGTGGGATGCTGCCTCAGCATGGCCTGATGAGTGGTGCCATGTCCGCGCCCAGGATTCAAACTGGCGAAACCCTGGGCCGCCGAAGCAGAGCGTGAGAGCCTTACCACTCAGCCACGGGGCCGGCCGCTAATTTGTGGATTTTTGTGCCTGTCTGTTTTCACTTAGCATAATTTTTTCAAGGTTTATGCATGTTGTAGCATGTATCAGAATTTCACTCTGTTTTTTGGCTGAATAAAATTATCCCTTCATCAGTTGATGGACGTTTGGGTGGTTTTCTACCTTTTGGCTAGTGCGCATAGTGCTGCAGTGAACATTCATGTACAAGTTTTTTTTTTTTTTTTTAACACCAGTTTTCAGTTCTTTTGAGTCTACACCCAGGATTGGAATTGCTGGGTTATGTGATAATTTTATGTTTAACTTTTTGAGGAACTGCCGAACTGTTTTCCACATCTCCTGCCCAGTTTTACATTTTCACCAGTAATGTAGGGGACTTCCAATTTCTCCACATCCTCACCAACACTTGTTATTTTTATTTATATTTTTTACTATAGCCATGTAAGTGGGTGTGAAGTGGTATCTCATTATAGTTTTGATGCACGTGTTCCTGATGGCTAATGAGGTTGAGCATCTTTTTCTGTGCTGATTGGCCATTTATCTATCTTTAAAGAAGTGTCTATTCGGACCTTTGCCCATTTTTTAATTGGCTTGTTTGTCTTTTATTACTGAATTTGAGTTCTTTATTCTAGATACAAGTCCTTTATCAGATATGTGATTGGCAAATATTTTCTCCCATTTTGTGGGTTGTCTTTTTACTTTCTTGATAGTATCCTTTGATGCACTAAAGTTTTTAGTTTTGATGAAGTCCACTTAATATTTTCTTTTGTTGCTTGTGCTTTTGGTGTCATATGTAAGAAACCATTTGCCAAATCCAAGGTTATCCTATGTTTTCTTCTATGAATTGTAAATGGAATTTTTTGACTGTATATTTTTTACTGTCTCGCATAAGTTTTAGTGTTCTCATGTAAAATGTATCAACACCATTTTACTAGATTTTGTTTAATTTACACACCACTGGTTAAATCTCTCTGTACAGTTAGTTATTTGGCCTTTTTGGTCTTTCTTTTACTAGCTTAGCTCTTGTCATGCGGTACTTTCGACGCAGCTTGCTGATGCCATGATGTTCCCCATTACCCAGTTTAAAGAAAGAGATCTGAAAGGTATTGAGGTCAAGCTTATGTTTACATTCATTAGCTATCAGAAGATCATTGCTTGTAAAATGCATATAACTCTTTACCTTAACCATTTCTAACTACAACTTGTGCCACTTTCACTTTAATTAGTCACTAAACATTTACAGGAGCTCCTGCTAGATGTTAAACTGGATGCTGAGGAATACGGATATGAATAAGAGGTCACTTCCCTTGAGAAAGCCCAGAGAAGGAGATGGGTGAACAGATAATTATGATACTCTGTCTCTTATAATTAGGGAATAAGCAAGGTATGCTGTGGGGGCTTAGACCAGGGTGTCAGAAAGTCTTCACTAAGGATGTGACATGAGCATTGAGCAATGATGAGGAATTTGCCAGAAGAGTCATTGTTCTGTTAGAGGGAATAGAAAACACCAAAGGATGAATTGTAGAAATAACGTGGCTTGTTTTGAGAATGATGGGAAATTCAGTATAGCCACAATGTTGGATGTCTTGGGGTGTGGCAGGAGACAAATCTAGAAGTAGGTTGTTGGGGACTGGATCATGCTAAAGATATTGGACGTGAGTTTATAAGCAAAGAGAAGCCAGTGGAAGTCTTTAAGAAGTAGAGAGACACAATCCCTTTGTTTTTGGAGGGTGGAATAGAGTGGTTTGACATCTAGGAGAACGGATTAGGAAGTTGTGAGAGTCCAGTGAGGTATGACCAAGGCCCGAACTGAGACAGTGGCACAGGAGGTGGAGGTGTGTTTAATAGGCTGGAGTGGTGGGAGGTAGGGGTGCTGGCACATCTGGCAACCCATGACTTAGTAATTTATGGTGTTTTATTTTTTCCCTGTTTAGGATTATTAGGTGATAAAATGAGTTTTATAGAATTGGCTTTGCTATCTTATACTTTACAATCTCAGACAATCATACAGACTTATTTACAAAATATGTAGATAGAAGAAAAACATTGAACTAATGTATCAGTGGATCGTAAAGCATTTAAATTATATTTGGAATCAAGACTAATGTATTTTAGAGATGGAGTTATATTTGTGATGGTGATCCTCAAGAATAGTCATTTCTAAGATAAGAAACATCTCTTTTCTCAATCCTTAGATTGACTAAATGTCATAATCTTATTAAGAAAATGTTTTTTGTTTCTCATTCAGCATTTGAACTTTAATGATTAGAGTTAATATCAAAAAATGAATTAGTAAGTTGGATTCTGGTACTAAGTCGGATATTTGCGTATCTTAGAATGTGCAGTGGTTTTAAAATTTGTTTTTGTGTCATATCACTAATTTGTGTCAAGGAGATTTTCTTGTGGTGTAACTGTTGCTATTAGTAAATGTTCCATAGACTAGCTGAAACACAGAATAATTTTTTCACTTTGTTGAAGTATGAAATATTATTTGGCATTTTAATTATAGCTAACTGGCAGTTACTGTTTTCTGAACAAAATTCAAGATATTTCATAAATATGCTAACCTGAAATTATTCTTGAACTTTTCCAGAGATATTGACATTAAAGGAAGTGTTTCAGATTGCTAGTAATGGTAAGCTCTGAATATTTTACAGTTATTTCTTGTAATGATGCATTTCTTTATCAACACATATCTGTGGCCAGATTTTATGTAATAATTGAAAAAATGAACCTAATTAAAAGTTAAGTGAACATTATTTAAATCAGTGTTATTTAAGTTGCACTGTTTCTGCTACAAGAAAAATTTAAAAGGAAATTAAATCAAATCTTGTGGTTTGCTATCATCATAAAACCTAAGGAGATGGTATAATAATTTTTTTCACTTCCTTGTTTTCCTATAAATTCCAAATTTTCTTTAATGAGAATTTTCTATTTTTGTACTAAAAAATACTTTAAAAAGCTTTTAGTGGATTTCAGTTTCCTTTGAATTAAATATTTCCCAATTTAATAAGCAGACACAAACTTTAGGGGAAATTTGGCTGTGGGGACGTTTGGGTGCAGTGATTGTATAGTAGAGAGTTCTTATCTTGCTTTAGTACATTTGATGGGAGCTGCACACGTGAAGACCATTCACAGCATTTATAAATTTTGCACAGTACTGTTGTATTGTTGTTAAAAGTCGTTTCTCTTTTCCAGATCATGATGCTGCAATTAACAGATACAGCCGATTATCAAAAAAAAGAGAAAATGACAAGGTATGATACATACTTACTCCTTCAGTATCACAATTAACAACTGCTAGATTGGGTGGTCTAGTTTTTCCTGTTTAGAAATAGTATCCAGGAGTTACTTTGTCTGTTTTGCTGTATTGCCATTAGTTTAGTTTTTCCTTCTAGTTGTTTCAAGGCCTTTCTGATAATTGTTAATTATCAGAAAATTAGTAATTATCTTTTTAAGCAAAATATTTTTCTGCTGACAAAATTTTCTAAGTAAACATGACTATTCAAAAAATGTAATTGATGCCCAGTATACAACATTGCCTCCTTTTGCTTTGTATTTTCTTAACATTGCTTTTGTTCTATTTTTATTTGACCATATATGGATTCAAAAGTGTCTTTTAATACTTAGATAAAAAGTTGAATTGTTGCATAATTCAATGAAATTCTCTTATGAGGACCTCCTCATTTACAGAGAATATGTACATATATTTTTTGATACTTCAAGGAGTGAAACACAGAAATATTATACTGTATTTGAGTATAAATGCATTTAAGTAAAGAACAAAGAACAGAATATTAACAAATTCATCCAGATGCTCCTTAAGATCATTTCTCTCTCAGCCCCTAATCCAAGTCTTGATGAGTAGGCCTGCACTAGATGTTTGTGAGGGAGGTGATCTCTGTGCCTGGATTTTGGTGTCTGCAGCCTTGGCTGCACCTGCTAGGAGGCACACAGTGACAACTTGTGGGAATCCATGACTGAGTAGGATTTACTGTGCAACAGCTACTGTGACACAGTAAAGGGAATGTTTCTCACACAAAGTTCAGGACAAAAATCTTTCCATTTCTAACTTTAGTTCACTAATTACTTATTGGTGCAAATATTGATAAAATACATACCTTTTTAGATTTACATTACCTTGTTCTTTGCCTTAGAGAAGTAGTTAAAAGCTCTAGGTATGAATTTTGGCATGTTTTACATTACTTCTGGCTGTTCTAGGTATTTTTAAAAACATTCTGTCTCCAGTTTTATTTTATTTAAAGAATTTATTGAGCGCCTACTGTATGTCAGATACCATGGGGGAATTATGAATAGGCTTTACTTCTGCCCTCAAGGAGTGGATAATCCACAGTTGTCAAGGCCTGTGACTGGACTAGATGCCAGAGTACAAGGATGAAGAGAACGCATGAGTTAACGCTGAGTTAAGTGCAGCAATAGAAGTCTTAACAAAATGCTGGGAGAGCACAGAGAGGGCAGCAGTTAACTTTGGTGAATTGGGAAAGGTTGCACTTTTAGAGGTGAGATTTGCATCGAAGATGAGTGGATGTCACTGGTTGGGACAAGGGAGAGGCATTCCTGGAAGAAAAACAGCCTTTGTATATGTACATAGTGGCATCTGGAGAGTGTAAAGGTTAAGAAAACTGGCTCTGGAGTCAGATTGCTTGGGGACAAATCTCAGCTCTGCCACTTATTTGCCTGAGGTCACACACTGGTTGCTTAATGTCAAGCCTTTATTTCTCTACCAAAAAAACGCAGTGGTTGTGAAGATGAAATGCGATAATGCTTATAGCGAGCTTAATGCTTATAACCTGGCTTATAGCGAGTTTTCATTAAATTCTAGCAATAATTATTATTAGGATAATGGAAAGATAATCATTTTAGTGTATCTGGAACATAGGATGTATTTGGGGAAGTATGGCAGATATGACAAGAAAGTAGTAGTTTGGGGCCAGATTACTATGTTAGTAACTTTGAAGTTTGTGTTAGAGGGAGCGGGCAGCCACCAAAGGATTCTTAAGTAGGTAACGCTATGCAATTGTGTTACCCAATAAAAACACTAATGGAAATGTGAAAGGGACAAAACCAGAGGAGGGAATCCAATGAAAAAGTATCGGAATAGTTTGGAAAGACATTAGGGGAGTCTCAACTAAAGTGTACATTGAAAGTGGAGAGGAAGGAGTGCTTTTGGAAGATATTCCCTAAGTAGAATTGACAAGACTTACGGTGGGAGGAAGAATCAGAAATGAGTCCTAGAATTCTTAGATGACAGGATGGATCTTGGGATAATTAAGAGAGCTAAGAAGCAAAGTATAGGGGCAGATTTTATGGGGAAGATACTGGATACTCTCTGCAGTCTTGTACATTTCCAGTACATTCACACACACACACACACACAAAGCCCAGCTGGAGTTGTGCTTTCTCTGACACTTGGGAAAGTGAGGGGCAGGAAATGAAAATTTGGGAGTCATTGGTGTAGTGGAATATTCTTAGTATTTGATTTGGTAATCTAAGGAAAGCAGGAAGAGAGAAGAGCCTAGTGTATATTATATGATAGGTGCTCAGTAAACATTGTCTGAGTAGGAGAATTCAAGGGAGCACACATATTTTAAGTGTGGGTGAAGGAAAACAAACAAGTACAAGAGAGGAGAAGGAGTAGGGAGAAAACCAGGAGGAGAAAGTGTTATGCTGTGTACTGACTAAGGTCAAAGACTAATGGCTAAGTTAATACCAAATGGTGTCTGCCTTTCCTCTGTGTGGTAGACTTTCTCTGCCATGCTTAGTTTAGTTATTGTTTAAGTTAACTAATTTTAGTTACCATTCTTAGTTATGTGCAGAATTCTGCTTTTAATATGCATTTTTTAAATGAAGTGGTTGGTAGTAAAACAGGAAACTATCTTAATCGATATTTTGCAGAATTTCTAATATCTCAGAAAGTAAGAAAGCTATGCACAGTTGCTGGTGATGCACCTTTTTCTGTGGGTGGGCCCTTCCCCACAGCTACTATTAAAGATAATTGAATATTAAATAAATAATAGTATTTTTAATCTTTTCACTCAAAGGTGAAGTATGAAGTAATAGAAGATGTCTACACTTCCAGAAAAAAACAACACCAGACCATGATGCATTATTTTTGTGCATTAAATACTCTTCAGTACAAAAAGAAAATAGCGTTGTTAGAACCTCTACTTGGGTACATGCAAGCTCAGGTGAATACTGTACTGTGTTTTCGATCATAACTGTCCTAAAAGTTTTATATTAAGTTTGATATTTATGTTAAGAATAAGGGTATTACAAACTAAGGTCAAAATACTCCTTTATGCCTATGTTTTAAAAAGTAATTTTAAATATGTCATCAGAGTGCTATTTTAAGGAAGATAGGGAGAATGGTTTTCCTTGCAAATTAAGATTTCAGATATGTTAGGGTAAATGAAACTTTTTGCCTCATATTTACATCTTGTCCACCACAGTTGGGGACAGGGAACAGAAAGCTGAATGAATTCTAGAGTTATGCCTATTGCTGGAGCTTCCACTCACTCTTGCTTCGTAATAGATCTGAAAGAGAATGGACAGCTTGAATTTGTGTCATGTTCCTTGCACACTTCCTGAGTTACAAATAATAAATGAACTTCAGAGTATCCCAAAAGGTGTGCATCAGGAAGGAGCCTAGAAAATTAAATTTGGGTAATATAAGAGGACATGGTAGTCCCCCAAAAATCAAGTTTAAAGAAATTTGATTATTTCTTCAAATATGAGTGCTTATTATTCCTTAGATATAAACCTTATTTATCTTGGTAGTAAATATGAAATAGTTCATCCATATGACTTATTTGAAATGTTTTAAAATTTGTTTTCCAGTTTTTAAAAATTGCTTACCTATGCATGTCTTAATATATAAAAGAATGTACAACAAGATTTAAGTCTAGTTTCTTTGTTGGCTTCATGCCCAGTAGGTCATTGTAAACTACAGCCTATTTTTATGCAAATTGGAATAACCATGTATCTTGGAGGTTGTTTGTATGATTTACTTTAAGCATTTTGTGTCTTTGTGTTTTTGTTGTTCATCCTGCCGCTCCCATACCCTCTTGCCCCAGATAAGTTTCTTTAAGATGGGTTCTGAAAATCTCAGTGAACAACTGGAAGAATTCTTAACTAATATTGGAACAAGCGTACAGAAGTAAGTATTTTCTTGCTTAAAATTGAAAATAAAGTTATGCAAATGATAAGTTAACAGCTAAATGCCATAAACTAAAAATATTTACCATTTAATTTCCTGAGGAGCTATTTTCCCCGCCATGAGAGTATTTCTTGCATGGCTCATGGATGCCTCCTGAGTTTTTCACCATCTTTTCCACAGAATCTGAACTCTGAAATTTCTAACAGTGTCAAATCTGATGCTATTTTATTGATTATAAACTAGGTTTTATATCAGAATATAATGGAAATGTAATAATTCATAAGTGAATTATCTTCACAATTATCTGAATTATGAGGAATGGATGGGAGATTACTAAATAAATCTTGCTTTCCAAGCCAGGAAAGCTTGAAGACAGAGAGAGAAAGCACTTCTAATCAGGTTCAAAAGTCTGAGCAGTGATGTGGTCAATCTGAGATATGGAGAGAGGTGAAAATGATTGTTGTTTTAAAGGTACAGGACAGAGCAGTTTGAAAATTCTTCCAAAGTCAGACATTCAGTGTGGCTTCATTAGTTTTGAATTTCGTATGTTTCCAGAATATCTAAGTTTCAAATAAAATGTAAAGTTGTTTCACAATGTGTTCATGTTACTGTAACCACTCATGCCACTGCTGCTCTCTTTAAGAAAATATGTACGAAACAAATATACCAATAAATGTGATGGGTAGGGAGTTCTTTTTCTGTTGTGGTTGGTAGTACATAATCTGTTCTCTGTGATAGTGTTCGCAGGGAGATGGACAGTGATGTCGAGACCATGCAGCAGACAATAGAGGATTTGGAAGTAGCCAGTGACCCTTTATATGTGCCTGACCCAGATCCCATGAAATTTCCTGTTAATCGAAACTTAACCCGAAAGGCTGGATACCTTAATGCTAGGAAGTAAGAAAACTATTCTTATTTTCATATATTGTATATTATCTTAGGTAATAGGGGGTGAATATAATCTATAATTGATGTTGTCTGCCAAATTGTTTTGATTTTTACTAAAGGTTGAATCTTTTTAGTTAGTGATGTTAATGTCAACTTTTTGACAGATGGGGTACATGAATAATTTTCAAAAGTAAAATCCTATTTAGACATTTATTGAATAATTTAGAATTATTTAAAAAAGTGAAACCAGAGTGTCTGACTCCCCACTAGAATGTCAGCTCCAGGAGGACAGGTATGCTGTGTTGCTCTCTGTATCCCCAGTGAAGAGAATAGTGCTGGCCACATATAGGCTCTTAAATATTTGGTGAATAAATGAATGAAACACCCAGTTAAAAAAACCAATTTGAGTTTAAATAAATCTAGCATAACGTGAATGTTATTAAATATCATTTATCATACTTTAAAATATACATAATTATACCATCAAGTCAAATTTTAGTTTTTAGCTGAAGGTAGGATAAAACAAGTTAACCATGGGAGTAAAATAAATTCTTTTGTTTTGAATTTATTCCCTTGCAAGTTGAACTATATTTTATGGAGCATCATTATAACAGCTGCAATTTGATAATTTCCAGCCTCATTTTGGATACACACACACTCAAGTGGGGCAGTGTACATGAATTGATTTTAGAGACTGAAAAATTGATATTCTAGGCACCATGGTGCCTTTTTGCAAGCTGGTTCTTTGTGATGTACTTTATTTTGTGTCTGGTTTATGATGAGATTTTCGGTATGTTGTTATTTAACAGTGAATGTACTTTCTTCATTTAGTAAAACAGGCTTGGTGTCATCTACCTGGGACAGACAGTTTTACTTCACGCAGGGTGGAAACTTAATGAGTCAGGCCCGTGGGGACGTAGCGGGAGGCCTGGCCATGGACATAGACAACTGTTCAGTAATGGCTGTGGACTGCGAAGACAGGCGATACTGTTTTCAGATCACCTCTTTTGATGGAAAAAAGTTAGTATTTTTTCGTAGTACTAATAAAATCTGTAACATTTTAAACTACTGAAATGCAGAATAATTCTTTTTCATTCAGATATTTCATAGATATTTATGTGTTATGTATTAAGATAATTTTTTTTTCAGTTTTTTTTTTTTATTGAGTTATTGATAGGTTACAATCTTGTGAAATTTCAATTGTACATTAATGTTTGTCAGTCATGTTGTAGGTGCACCACTTCACCCTTTGTGCCCACCCCCCACCCCACCTTTCCCCTGGTATCCACTAAACTGTTCTTGGTCCATAGTTTTAAATTCCTCATGTGAGTGGAGTCATACACAGATTATCTTTCTCTTGCTGGCTTATTTCACTTAACATAATTCTTTCAAGGTCCATCCATGTTATTGCAAATGGAATGATTTTGTTCTGTTTTGCAGCTGAGTAGTATTCCATTGTATATATGTACCACATCTTCTTTATCCATTCGTCTGTTGATGGGCACTTAGGTTGCTTCCACGTCTTGGCTATTGTAAACGGTGCTGCAATAAACATTGGGGTGCACAGGACTTTTGGGATTGCTGACTTCAGGCTCTTTGGATAAATACCCAGTAGTGGGATGGCTGTTCTATTTTTAGTTTTTTGAGGAATCTCCATACTGTTTTCCATAGTGGCTGCACCAGTTTGCATTCCCACCAGCAGTGTATGAGGGTTCCTTTTTCTCCGCAACCTCTCCAACATTTGTTGCTATTAGTTTTAGATAAGATAATTTTCTTTTTAATCTTGTAGAAATGAGTTCAATTTTTCCTTCTGACTTGGTTAAATGATGTCTTAATATTTTGAGGTTATCAAAGCAAGGCCATATGGTAAAGACCTGTGATTTCATGTTAAGAGACTGGTCAGTGAAAATTCTGCATGGTATGGGGAAGGCAATACAAGTTAGTGGAAAGAGCCCCAACCTTGGTTGGGGTCCAAAAGTTCAAATTCTGGATCCGCTACTTACAGTGTGGTCTTAGACAAGTTACATAACCTCTCTGAGCTCCATTTTTACTACATGTAAGATGGGGGTGAGGGATTCATGATACCCACTTCATAAATTGTTGATGAAGAACAGAAATCTAACACATGTAATGTGCTTAGCATGTAGTAGGTGCTAAAAGTAATGTTATTTTTAAGTATTAGTCAAATGTTTCTGATCAAATTAATTATTTAGTCCATTAATGTTTATATGCTGTTTTTAAAACTTCTATGACCTTTGCGTTAAATAAGAATTCATAGAATAGCCTTTAGGATAAGTTTTTGAAAAGCACAGAAAAATATAGAAAGGAATATGAAAAAAGCTATTATCTTACTAAACAGAAACAACAATTAACTTTTTGGTCTGTTGCCTTACAGTTCTTTTCTAAATACATTTTTAAATAGTTGAGGAAATGCTGTATCTATAATTTGGATTTGCATCCGTTTATTAAAAACATTTCATAATGGCTCCATGGTAATCCACTTAAAGGATGTACACCATAATTTAAAAATTTTCCTAATGATAGACGTTTATCTGCAATTTTTTTCCTACTTAATGAAAATATTATTTTTGATCTTTCTTAGCATTCAGAAGCAGCTTCTTGGTTCCCTGAAAGTCATTTTTCCCCTCTATTTATGTACATTAAGATGTTATGGCCGACTCACTGTCTTTTAGCAAAATGGTTGTTTTAATTACATATTCCTTCTATAAACATATAATGAATGCCACTTACCGTGTGTCAGTTTTCACGCTAGATATTGGGAATCTCTGTTGATTTGCCAGAATTACCACATTGTTAATATGTTTCTACAAGTACTTACATTTTTGTATTTTCAGTTTTTTGCTAATGCTTAACATGATTTCCCAGTACACCTTCCTGGTATGATCAAAATTAGTGAAGATTATTTTTTTCTCTAACTCTAAAAATAACATCTATAGAAAAGCTAAAATATCTCCCTGTTAGTGATTAATGTATTGAAAATTTTTATTTAACCGTATTCAAGGACAATAATCAATGAAGTAAAATTAGTGTGTTGAAATATATGGTAAGAGTTGGAAAGTTGAATTGCATCGTCTTTGTTGCAGTGTACCTTTGTTATAGGCTGTCTTCTGGAAACCAGCACCTGTTTTTTTTTTTTTTAGCACATCTTGGCCTAGATAGCCAAGGTCAAGAGTTGTGAAAATCTGAGTCCTGATGCCTCTGGTGGTCTTCTTTTCTGAAGATACTGGTTGTTTGTGTGTTTTGGGGTTTGTTTTTTGATGCTGATTGGTTTTATACATACCTTCAAAGATAAAAAATGTTATCAGATAATGTTGAAAGTACTTTAAAAAAATATTGAGGGTCAAATCTTTTCTTTTTCAGATCTTCAATTTTGCAAGCAGAAAGTAAAAAAGACCATGAAGAGGTAAAATTTTATCTAGTTAGCTTTTTAGCAACATCTTAAGATATTTTTCTGATGACAGAACGCATATTAATGTGTTCATCATAGAAATTTGAAAAATTCTAGTTAATTAAAAAGGTTTTTTTTTTTCATAAAAGTCTATTGTCTTTAAGCAGTATTCTTAAGTTTCAACAGAATTTTATAGCTGGACCTTTAAGGGGAGACCTTAGAGCTTGTCTCTCTGCTGTCTTTTTAAAGGCTCAAATTCAGAAATGACCTTGTGACTGTTGCTTTCTGGCAGGCTGTTAGTATCATGAGATGGCAGTTTAATTTATTCCCTTCTCTCACCAACCCTCTGAGACAGTATTTGTTGCATTAAGAACGTAGTGGCAGCAGATGTAGCATGGCAGGAAGCAACTAAACCTTGGGGAAATGAAAGACAGAAAAACAAAAATTTGGGAATGTCTGTTCTTCCTCACAAGTCTTTTATTTTTGGCTCCATTTTTACTTCTAGTACACCAAATGTGGAAGGTAAGTTACTATCAAGAACTGACGCTTCAAAAACTTTGTCTTGAGAAATAGTCTTCAATGAAAATTTTGAGCCATTTTATCTGGTATTATAATTGTGTTGGTAAAAGACAAAGTTAAAAGTTGTGTGGTGATCTCATAGAGAAGAGTAGGTATTAAAACTTGCTTTTTGGTCTCTGAGGAACACAGACAAATGTCTGCTCTCTGCAGGGTTTACCGAACAGAATATTAGTTTAGTTTAGTTAGGCTCCTCAGGACTGGAATCCTTGAGAGTGAAGCAGAAGATGTGGAGCAGAGAGCATTTTCTATACTAATTATTTATAAACCTGGAAGAAGGGAAGTATGTCAAATATATTCACCACGAATATATTTAGCTCTTGAATTTTTTTGTATTGGAGTTAATCATGATATCTGAGTCTAGACTGTCTCGTTTGGTGGGGATTAAGGAGGGAAATGATATAAAAAGATAAATACAGACTATTAAATTATAATTTATCATGATTGTTATATTTTTTATTTCCTTTTATGAAATAAGTTTGAGGTTTAAAAACAATTGGTAAACCTGTTCAATGCTCTGTTATGTTATACCCTCAAATATTATACATATATATGCTGTGTATATTGGAAGGTATTTATCTTATAAGAAAGATTATGCATTACTTTGTCTAATGAAACTATTTCAGTTAAATATGGAACATTCTCTTTTAGAAGAGAAGCATTATAGAAAAAAATATTAATCGTATTTTTCTGTTTTTTCCCCTTGCAGTGGATCTGTACAATAAACAACATATCTAAACAAATATATTTAAGTGAAAATCCAGAGGTAATATTTTTGTTTTATAGTATCCAGACCTAGCAAAAATTGAATAATTCTGTGGTCTATATGACTTTTATTAAGTCAGTCATAGTTTCTCAAGTTCTCTAATCTTTTAATTTGCCCTTGAATGGGTAGCTTTAATACATCATGTATATAATGAATATCTGGTCTTCCTAGAACAAGGAATTATTTCAAAAGGTACTGAACTCAGTCAACCAACAAATATTTACTGGGCATCGACCTTGTGTTCAGCTCTGTGTTGAGCACCATGGAGAAGGGGGATGCACAAGAAAAATAAGCCATAGCCTCTGCTCTCCAGGAGCCTATGTATAGGAAGAAAAACTAAAACTTTAAGTAACATTTCATATAAAACAGTATGTAATTGAAAGTGTATGGCAATGACTAAAAGCTTAAGATTTGAGAACATTAAGATCAGCGTGGACTTTAGTTTTTAGAGAAAACTGTGGAGATGGTGGAAACCTGAGCCAGGTGGGATGTGTCCATGTTTTGAGGAAAAGAGAGGACATTGCACATAAGACAATAAAAACAAAAGCACATATGCAGAAATGGTATGTTTATGAAACTAGTAGTGTACTTGGAGTTGAATGTTCTTGATGGAGAATAATAGAAAACTGAAATGTGCATACAAACAACCTGCGGATCTTGTTAAAATATGTACTATGATTCAGTAGGTTTGGGGTGAGGTGGCCTGAACTCTTAGTTTTGCCAGTTATGCTTTGAGTAGCAAGGGTATCAAACCAGATAAATTCCGCAGTGTAGATGTAACCATAGGTGCAGTCTAGACACTGGCAGAACCCAAGGGTGCAGAGGACTCGAAGGAATCAGGTGGGTCCGTACTGCAGTGTGGTTGGGAGAAGACTTGTCTTAGGAAATGGTTGACTAGATGGCAGTATCTGGGGAAGTGTAGGAGTCCATTCTCATAGTTCAGGCGTGAACTGAGGGTCTGAACAGGGTGGTAGCTGAGGAAGAGAAAAGAAATAATGAGTCATAGAAACCGGTAAAAAGAAATTGACTGGACTAGTTAGTAGCCAGGATGAAGGCTACAGATTAGTTAAAGATGACTTCCAGGTTTTAAGTCCAACTGAAGGGAAGAATAATTTGGAAAATAACAAGACTTCTTGTCTTTATCATAATGGCTTTGAGGTACCAGCCAAAGACATGATTTAGATGCCTACGAAAAAGTTTTGAACCAAAGAACTAAAATCTCATGACCTCCAGAATATTAGTGATTGCTCATAGTTTTATAAAAATCTTGTGAGTTTAATCTAAGAAAATCAGTGCTAACTGTAGAGAAGCCTTTTGCTTTTAGTAACTTGATCTGCCAATCTAGCTTTTCCTTTCTGTTATGTTAATTGGGAGCAACAAAAATTTAAAGTGCTAGTTAGATGACTTGTTAATACCTAGGGAATACATAGAGAATGCAACGTTTGGATTTGAATAATTCAGGCCTAATGTACTTTCCTGCCAATTATTAAAACTCTCTAAATTTTAATTAATATTTGCTGGATTATCTAGAATTATTTTATCTATATTAATGAGAAAAGAAATTTTGATCAATTTGTGGCGTTGTCTTGGTATGTTTGCTAACTATGAGACACAGAATTGCGGGGGCCGGCTCCGTGGCTGAGTGGTTAAGTTCACGTGCCCCACTCCAGCGGCCCAGGGTTCGGATCCTGGGCACAGACATGACACCGCTTGTCAGGCCACGTTGAGGTGGCATCCCACATCCCACAACTAGAAGGACTTGCAACTAAGATATACAACTATGTATGGGGGGGCGGGGTTTGGGGAGATAAAACAGAAAAAAAAAAATAGAAGATTGGCAACGGTTGTTAGCTCAGGTGCCGACCTTTAAGAAAAAAAAAAAAGCAAAAATATTTTGTCATTATTTTTCTAATACTATTTAATAGTAAATATTATTTTATTTAGCCAGTGTTTTAAATAAAACAGTAAGTTTAGGGGCCGGCCTCGTGGTTGAGTGGTTAAGTTTGTGTGCTCCGCTTTGGTGGCCCAGGGTTTCGCCTGTTCGCATCCTAGGCGCGGACATGGCACTGCTCATCAGGCCACGCTGAGGGGGCATCCCACGTAGGACAACCAAAAGAATCTACAACTAGAATATACAACTATGTACTGGGGGGCTTTGGGGAGAAAGAAAAGAAAAAAAAAACAGTAAGTTTAAAAATAATTCTTGTAGAAAGCTTTCTTTCAAATTTTGGTCTGAAAATATCCATGATAACTTTATCAGTTAATAAATATATAGACATTTCTGACCATAAATATATTTTGGAAAATATGAAAACTTTAGCAGTATAGTTATAAAATACTTTTAATATTTTATGACTATTTCTTACTCCTTCTAAATTTCTTTATTTAGCAAATATATTGAGTGCCCACTATGCCAGGCACTGTACTAGGTGCTAGCAATACAAACTTTAATCCAAAAAATCTGGTAGTTAAAAATTTAAAGAAAAAACAGTATTTCCTATTATGTATATTAGCAGGAAAAAAATCAGATTTTTTTCCCCCCTAGATCTACAGGAAGTAAGAGGAAACTTAAGTTATAATGTTGTAAAGTCAATTATGTGTCTTAATATTAAGACAAGAGAATGTGGAACTACTTTAGTAACTCCAATTTGCATTTTAAGTAACTCAAGAACATTCTGACAATTCAGAGAGTTATATTCAGATTTTTGGTTTTCTTGCTTTACTAATATTAGTCCTTTTAAAATAAAATAGGAAATTGCTGCACGAGTAAATCAGTCAGCTTTGGAAGCTGTCACTCCTTCCCCATCTTTCCAGCAGAGGCACGAGAGCCTGCGGCCAGCAGGGTGAGATACCAGACTGTGGGTATTTAAAGAACCATATGGGCTGTTGAAAGTGGTAGCGAACACTTCGATTTTAGCAGTGCTACTTATATGAGTGCGAACTAGTTCTTCAAACAACATAGAAAGTGTATTATTTTCAAATTGATAAATATACCAGTAAAAGTGCTAAGTAAAATAATGATTCCAAATTTCCCTAGTGTTGATCTCTAGATTGAGGTGATTTATGTTTTTAAATTTAATAGTTGGAAAGAAAGAAATGTGTTGTGAAATAAGTAGCTATGATTTGGGATTGTGTTTATTAAAATTTGTTCTCCCCTTCTTGTTGACTTATAAAATTATATTTTCTTTTCTCCTAGTTTAAGTGTTCAGTTTCCAAAAGAGAAAACTAAATGCAAGGCCTCCTTGTTTTTTTCTGTGCTTAGACAATCTTGGCCACCGACAGCTCGAACCAGCAGTTCGGGATCCTTAGGATCTGAGTCCACAAGTTTGGCTGCCCTTTCTCTAGATTCTCTTGTCGCCCCAGACACCCCAATACAGTTTGACATCATTTCTCCCGTGTGTGAAGATCAGCCTGGCCAGGCAAAAGCCTCTAGTCAGGGAAACAGGTGGGTGATGGCATCACAGGGATATTGTGCTGTGGTCTCTAAGGTTTATGATTCCATTTCTGTGTTTGAGAGTCATCTCTCACGTGTCATGTGCATCAGCTGTGTTGTACTCTGTTTAATTACCTAACATAATTTTGATAGTTGGGGAAGAATCATGCAGTTTTTTCTCTTTGTTTTCTGCCTCGAACAAGTTAAGATAATTTAGTTTTAAAAATATTTAATTCTGATTTGCTTATCAGATCTACTGGTTAGATATTTGCTTTTAAAATTGCAGAAGGAAGTTGCCAGTCTTGTCTTTGGGTCATGACAATATTTTAAAAATTCTTGAGAGTAATACATGTGATATAGGTTTATTAGAAAATATTATCTTGTATCAGAAGAAGAAATCTCCAGGAAGGTACTGAAACATTATCATGCTATGAATTATTAATGAATCATCTTTTGTTTATATAATGAGAAATATCCTTAAAGTTAAAATGTTTCTTTAGCTGTGGACAAAGGAAACATGACTTAAGGCAAATCATTTATCAAGTAGGTTAGACACCTAATAAATTGATAACATTAATTTTGATATACGTGGCTGTGACCCAGAAAAAGTAATTTACATTTGATCACAGAAATATACTTAGCATTTAATGTAATAGGTCAGACATGTATTAGGGAGATCAATTCCATGTTATCTTAATGCCAGTGTTATTTTAGAACCGTTTAGCTCTCAGTTTGCTTACAAAACCTACTTTAAATTGTACTATTCTTCCTTCATTGTGGGTGTGCCAAGAGCCAAGCACACTAAGAGGAAGGTAGTCTCCTTTTATAGTTAGCTTTTCTTCTTGTATTCTATTATATATGCCTTTGAGAAATACAAGTTTAAAACTAGAAAATGTTCAAATTATCATAGTTAACTTGCGATATATAATTAGAGAACCTCAAGAGAGATTTTTACAGTCTCAGGAAGTCCTTAGCATTTTTCTCAAGTAGCTAAAATTGAACCTAAACCAGCTGTTTCTGTGTCCTAGTTTATTTAAATTCAGGAACTTTTGCAACATGATTTATGATGATGTTGATTCTGTGTGCGTGTAGCTAAACCTCCAGTCCATCTGCATCTTCTAAAATGCAGCAACTTTGAGTTCAGCCTGTTAACTCAGAGTGAGGGCAGGGCCTCTATCTGTAAGCTGGTCATCGGTAGTATTCCTTAACAGGATGGAATACTTAGAGCTTTTTTTTTTTAAATCTATGTACAAGGTTTTGTGACTTAGTGTTTAACTCTGGTTTCCATGATTGAGATGCCTTTCATGTGGCTCATGGTAACTGACCATTGGCTCATAATTTTTTAAAAACTTTTCAGGCGTACAAATCCATTTGGAGAATCTGGAGGAGGTACAAAATCTGAAACTGAAGGTAAAACAGATGTTCAGTATTCTATTTTAGAAATTCTCAGCAGTAAACTGTGAAGAATTTGTTTACATTTGTTCTGCTTATGCTGTTTTAATGGTATCTTTACTTCACAATTTTCTCTTTTTACTCATAGTACACTTAAAGCAACAACTTAATTGGACTTAAGGTTTTGTTATTCACACAATTATAGGATATCATATTTTTTTTTCTTCTTTTTTTTTTTGGTGAGGAAGATTGGCCTTGAGCTAACATCTCTTGTCATTCTTCTTCTTTTTGCTTAAGGAAGATTGTCCCTGAGCTAACATCTGCACCAGTCTTCCTCCAATTTTGTATGTGGGACGCCATGGCTTGATGAGTGGTGTATAGGTCTGTGCACAGGATCCAAACCCATGCACCCCGGGCCACCGGAGTGGAGCATGCAAATTTAATCACTATGCCACTGGGCTGGCCCTAGAGTATCCTAGTTTTGGCCTCATAGTCAAAGTCTCAATGTGTATTATATCTTTTAAGCGTTTCCTGACAGCTGATGTTTTCTTCTGATACGGGAGCATAACTTATTTTTTCTTTTTCTAGTAGCTGTTTATTTTGATATAATTTCAAAGTTATAGAAAAGATGTAAGATTAGTACAAGGAATTCTTTTTACTCAGAACCACTAATTTTGAAGTATAACCTTTTGCTGTTTAAATTTGACACCTTAATTTTCGTGGAACTTGAATACTGTAGTTAGAAGTTTTTTTCTAAATACTTCTGCTATGTTTACTTTTCACTGGAAATCTCAAAGGAGGCAGTGTATTTTATTCTTTAGGGAAAAAAATGTGGGATTTAAAAATACATAGTGTACCTTGTTCTGTTGTAGATTCTATTCTTCATCAGTTGTTTATTGTCCGATTCCTTGGTTCTATGGAGGTGAAATCAGACGACAATCCAGATGTTGTTTATGAAACAATGCGCCAAATCTTAGCTGCCCGTGCCATCCATAACATCTTTCGTATGACAGAATCACATTTATTAGTCACTTGTGATTGTTTAAAGTAAGTAGTAACCTCTCCTTCAAAAAACTGTAGGAAAAATGTTTACATAATTTCAGCCTATTTAAAGTTTGTTTTCCAAATTTTTAATTATTATAGGTTAATTGATCCACAAACACAAGTTACAAGGCTCACGGTGAGTTCTACATGTTTAAAGCTTTATTTTAAGTCTCTTTGAGGATATTCACATCTTACATTTTTATAATAACCCTGCTTGTGTATATTCAGATATAGTAGTATCAATTATGAGTGGCCTTCAGCTGTTATAATTAAGTCTATGGCTCTCTCTCCAAAAAGGTTATAATTGAACATTCCATGTAACTTAAAGAATGTGCACTCTGGTGTGACACTTAATGTTTATCCTTTAGGGAGCATGTATTATACACTAAAGAAACTAACAGTAGGAATTATAAAGCGACTATGATTGAGTTTATAATTATCTGTTTTGAAATAGCTGCAAATATTTGCTCTTATTTAATCATTTAATAATATAGATTATTTTTGTTACTGAATTTGAGTTTGTAAAATGTGTTAATGACTAATAAAATAAATTCAGTATTCAACAACCTCTTATTCTGCCTGGCAATCCAAACTAAATATGACATTATTTGTTCTTGGATTACCATTCTGTTAAGAAAAAAAATTGGCTCTAATGTTCTGTTTATGATATTTTTATAACTTAGCACATGAGTTTGTCATGTATAAGACTGCTGATATAATGGTTTGAAAAATCTCATGTTTGCTTCTGATGTTTTCTGTGGTAGTTTCCATTACCAAGTGTAGTTTTGTATGCTACACACCAGGAAAATAAGAGGCTTTTTGGATTTGTTCTTCGGACATCAGGAGGGAGAAGTGAAAGTAATCTATCATCAGTCTGTTATATATTTGAATCAAACAATGAGGGAGAAAAGGTACGTGGCTTTTCAAAATGTGTTCCTATTGTAAAATACACCCTATAGTCAAAGTTCTTAGTAAGATTTCTGGGAAAAACTCGCAGACTTTGCCTAGTCCAACTGAGTTGCTTGACCAAAGCCTGTTGCTCTGGACAGAGCTGAGCTGATGAGTTGGGCCTTCTGACTCTACAGACCTGTATCTTCCTGGCCATTGATAGCTGGTGCAATCTTCTGACCTCATTAACTTATCCTGCGGATGCAATATATTCCCATAATCAGCCATTTTCAGATGTCTTTAGCTTAAAGTAGCATCAAAAGCTGCTTGCTTCATCCTTTGCTGACCTTATTATTGTCTTGGTAATGAATTTGAGATGACAGGAACTAGGTTCCGGGAGAGCTAAGAGCTAGCAGTGAAAGCCCACAGCCCCTGAAGGAAATACACAAGAGCTTGGTTTGGGGGCTGCAACATTCTTACATCAGCTTTTGTTTGAAGCAGTGTATTATAATGAGTTATAAAGCGAGTTACATCAGCCATTTGGATACTTGAAATTATTACTTTGATGTGAGAACTGTGAATTTTTTCTGCTTTTTCTCCTTTTAGATTTGTGATTCTGTTGGACTGGCAAAACAGATAGCTTTGCATGCAGAACTGGTAAGAATCCAAGACACTTTAATTATCCAAGAATGTTAACTAAAATAATTTAAATTCTTTCATATTAGCAAGTAAATAAAATCATTTTGCTAAGCAAGGTTGACAGTGAATGCTATTGCTGATATGGCATTTAGGATTTGGATAAATGGCTAACAGAATGTAAATTTTTGGCGTGCTTTCTAATATAAAAGCAAAAAATTGAAAAGTTACAAAGGTAGTATTAATTGAAAAGTCTAAAATTTAAAATATTTCATATTTAATTAATTAGTTGTATTCATCTGTTTTTCAGGATCGTAGGGCATCAGAAAAACAAAAAGAAATAGAGAGAGTAAAAGAGAAGCAACAGAAAGAACTCAGTAAACAAAAACAGATTGAAAAGGTATGCGGCCCTAACGTCGAGATCTTTTCTGATGTGGTGTTTGTGAAGAGTTTCTTTAATTCAGCACTGTGACTTTCAGAGTTTAGTTTCCAAATGAAGGTCTGTTCTGCTTCATCGGCCGCTTCATAACCGGACGATTCATAGCACAGTAGAAAAGGGTGACGTCTGTCTCCTGATATCTTTGCATTCTAAGTATAACTATAATATAGATTAACATGTAGTATGACTTGCTGTTTGGCAAACATACCAGAAGTTTCATATTTCCATATTCCAATGAAGGTTGTCTCTGTCAGAGCAGGTTTTTTGAAATGCTGTATATATACATTTAGATTTAACTGTCATTGCTGAAAGCCACATTGGCTTCTAGGAATATATATGTGTGTGTGTGTGTGTGTGTGTATATATATATATATATATACTTATTAATATTTAATGTTACCAGGAGTGTCAAATCGTTGTCCATCCAACAGGATAATTTTAAGCTAGACGAATTTCAGAGCAAAATCTGGAGAATGCATTAGATAAGTGATCCATGAGATTGTAAGAGCTGTTAGGGGTTGTGGCAGTAGCAATGAAAAAGAGGAGATCACTGTGGGATACTTAATGAGAACAGACCAGCAAGAGTTGACAGTGGATTGGATGTGTGGACAAAGGAGGGGGAAAGTGGCAACGATGACACTGAAGTCAAGACTTCCTTGATAGATTAGGCTGAGGATAGATGACAACTAATTTAGAAGATAAATTGGACAAAGATGGAGAAGAGGGCTGGAGATGGGGAACAAAGGGGATGTGGAATGATCCATTGTGAGCCTTTTCCTGGCAAAAGGTAAGAGATAATGATGGCCTGAACGTGGTTCTTGACCGTAAAAATGGAGAAGAGGGAAATGTTGGCTTTTATAGGATTTCTAGGATGGTGCCAAAATTCACTTTGTTGTTGCATTGGTTGTGAGTAGCCTTTCTTTTTAGTAAGCGGCCAAAATTATGCATACATATTTATGACAGAAAAATTGAAGTGGCTCTCAAGTGTGTATTTTAACTACATAGTTTTCCATCTGGGTGCAAACAATTAACTTAGTTTCTTTTCTCTCTTTTTCCATTAGGACTTAGAAGAACAGAGTCGGTTGATAGCTGCTTCCAGTAGACCAAACCAAGCCAGTAGCGAGGGGCAGTTTGTTGTCCTTAGCAGCAGCCAGTCAGAAGAGAGTGATTTGGGAGAAGAAGGAAAGAAGAGAGAGTCAGAAGCATAAACTTATCCTTGATTTTGGTTGATATATCCCCCCTTGGAATTTATTGATAATTTCTGTGATGAAATGGCACAAGGTAACAACTATGTTGAAATATCAAGGAGGAGACTAAAGTTTATATTGCCTTGTTTAACTTCATTTTTTAAAATGATTGACCTGAATGACTTAGGTTTGCATTGATTTTTCTTTCCTTCACAATAAAATCCTATGCAGTAACATCAGATTGCACGTGTCTAAAAGCAACCTGTTCCTCTCCCTGAAGTCGGTCGCTGAGGAACTGCGCTTGCTTCATTAAGCCTTGTGCCTTCACATTGTGAATTGTCTTTCATTGTGATCGACTGTGACCGTAGGGAGTCATTTATTCTTCATTAAGCCTTGTGCCTTCACATTGTGAATTGTCTTTCATTGTAATCGACTGTGACCGTAGGGAGTCATTTATTCTTCATTAAGCCTTGTGCCTTCACATTGTGAATTGTCTTTCATTGTAATCGACTGTGACCGTAGGGAATCATTTATTCTTCAGCTTTCGACATTCATGGATATGCTCCCTCTATTTTATTCGGAACATTTTGCTGGCACTGAGGAAGCTTGCGACTGAATAGGTTCAAAACTCTTTATGTGGAGAATTGTATAAGTTTGCATATATTTTAACAATATAAAATGTGCAATAGAACTTTTATAAAATAATTAGGACAGAGGTTTTAGACTTCAAATTGTGGCAGACGGTACTGTTGATTTCAGGGCACTTTCTTGCATTGCTACGTTTCCCTGATGTACTACTCCTGATGCCAAGGAAAGAAGTTTACGTGTCTTCAGTTCAAGATTGATAGAGCCCTTGGCATTTTATTATCACATTCTTAGTTCTCAGGTTGGGACTTGAATTATTGCTGCAGAGCAGTAATGGTTAAAAGAAGATTTTGGAATTTATTAAAAGGATTTTTGTTTGTTTTAGATTAGGACTTAACGTGTAAAGATATTGATACAAAATAATACACCATATTTTCTGCATTGCGTGAAATAATTTTTATTGAAAAACACGTGATATTTCAAAAGAAGTTCTATAACAAGTATGTTTCCTGCTTAAAGTAAAAATTCCCAGAGTTTAGTTTAGAAAATGTAGTCTTTTAAATTTCAGACTAATATCCACAGTATTTTCATAATCCCGTGTTTTGATAAAATGCTCATCACCACTTTATATCCACGAAGGCAAATAACTAATATATGAGAATAATTTGCACTAATTATTGTAAATACTTGTACTCTTCAAATGAGTAAAAGGTCTGATTCCATGAAAGGTTGAAAAGAAATTGAATGCTTGGTGTAGGAGAGTTAACCAAGGAAGGATTTTAGCCTGGTGCCAAGGTTAAAATGACATTTCTCTACTGCCTACTTCTATGTCAAAACTTGATTTTTTTTTTCTTTACTTGGATTTTTAACATTGCCGATAGAAATTATGTTCTTATGTTTCGCATGTAAAAGTATATTATAGACAAGTTAAATATATTGAATAAACTATTTTACATAGTCATGGATTTAAAGTTTTCAAGAGATTAGTGACTAAGACTAATTTTACAAGGGAAAAAAAGCCTTTTGTTCTTTGATATATAGTTTCTTCTTCTTAGTTCTGAGTAGAAATGGCATCTGTTTTTTTCTCACAATATAGTTTGGCTGTTTCACACTGTATATACACTATTTTCTGTAGGAATGGGATAGATAATTATATATAGGATCATGATATTCATTTTATCCATGTGCCAAATGGGAATAATGATTACTTGATAATCGTTATTTTGAAGCCCTGTGTTACCAAAACATTTAGTAAAAAGGGAGAAATTTATGGAATACTTTTTCTAAAAAGTTTATTTTTTGCTTACTAAAGGGAATGCATTCACAGTAGTTTGTGTATCATTCCTTCTGTAGAAGTTGAAATTTCTTCTGTGGTCAACACCTGATTAGTCATGGCAAGTCCTGCTTTTAAGACCTTTTTGAGAATTAGTTAAGCTTTCTGTTTCATTAAGTCTTTTGTTTATACTAGTGAGTTGTCACCTTGCTTAGTTCAGATGAAACTTGTCACCCAACAAGGGTGGTCAGCATGAGGAGGCAGTTTTACTAGGCTGGTGCTTTGCCTGGTAGCAAAGTGCTGCCCTTTGTTAGCACTCTGGGTCAAAGTGGAGGCTAGAGTTAAGGGTACTGGCAAACTTAGGGATTCTGGACAGATTTGTAGTTGCTGTTAAGTCATGTTTGATAGGAATCTCCACAGTAACACACTCATGTCCACAGGCCAGACCAAAGCGCATTCCAGCACCAAATAGGAGTTGTGTATGGGTTTAACAATGTTCGATGATGTAACTTCTGTTCCATTACTATCGTACTATATGAACTATTCCATTACTGCAGATATTTAAGCATCAACTTTAATAAACTCTCTTTTTTATTTAGGGAAGAAGCTGATCTTTGTTGCTCTTTGAAACCCCTTCTAGCTCTGGAATGCTTGAGTGGTAATTGTTAGATTTTGGAATACCTTTCTCAGATTCAGTCTTACATTTTGTGGTTTTTAGAGATTAACAAAGCTGATTCTTTAAAATGAAAGAAGTTGTCTACCTAATTCTGCTAGGCACTCTGCTACCCATATGAATAGTACTTTTATAATTCTAGTAGTGAAGTAAATAGGTAGGAAACCTATTATTCCTTCTCCCTTTTAATATTTTGAAAACTTTCTAACAAGGGACTGAAACTGTTACCTTGTGCAGAATCCTCAAAGCCAGTCTAGTTTTTGCCATGTCTACAATGATTACTTTGTGTTTAATTTCAAAAGAATTCTCAGGCTCCACAATCTAGGGGTGGTAAATTTGTGTTACCTTTATGCTTGAGAAAAAGATAGTAGGGTGTGCATAACATTCTACATAACATATCTTATGTGGTAGAGGCATCTGAGTTAATTTTGAGTTATATATAGGAACTACAAGTATTTTAGATTTAAATCTTATATAAATAATGCTTCAGGTCCTAAGAGCTTGTGTGTTACAAAACCTTCTGCCAGTTGACTTAATAAAGTGAAAATATTAACATTGGTTTTGACAACAACCTCCTAGCATTCAAACTGTACTTTAAATATTAAAACACACTGATTGTAGCAAGCAACCCTTTCATTTTATCTTTAGCAAGTTTGACTTACTTTTTCATGAGATTTTGTTCTACATTAATTAATTAATACATAAAGATTTGAAACTGGAACTATACTTTTTAACCAATCTCTTGTGGCTATACTCCTATGTAATTAACTTCAGTTAATATGAGAACTGGGGATTAAGTTATAACTAATGTGCGAAACTGCTTTGTATATTTAGTGATTTTGTAATGTAAGTGAATTGGTTAATTCTTCTTTCACTGATACTATTAATCATGCAGTATAAAATTAAAGATCATGCTACATTTCCCTTTAGAATTGGATTTGAAGAGCTCGACTTTATGTAATGGTGGCATACATGTGGAGTGGAGAACTTATTTTTTCATTTTGTCAAAATAGGTATTCCCTGACATGGCTTCAGGAAATATGCTGTTAGGAGATTTTTAATGTATAATAAAGTTCATAATTTTTGTACAGTCTCTTTTGTATGAAATATGATACTTTGAATTTTTTCTCCAAGTAATTTCAAATGATGCTTATAAAAGAGTTGGACTTTTTCTTAATCTGTTGTGACACTATAGTTACACCTCTAGCCCACTGCAGTTCCATGACAGCTAAAATTTTTTAAAGAGTCACTTATTGGGAAGTAATACTGATTCATCACTAGTGACTCTTTTAGAAAAATAAAGCGATTTTTCAGTAATTAACATGTTATAGACAATGTTTACTTGCTATGTTTGGTTCTATTCACAGAAATTCCTATAATTTAAAGGGGCAGGTTATTGTGTACTCCGGCATAAGTGGCTTGGGATGTAGTTTTAATACTAATGCATATTTATCCCATGTGCTCTTTATAGTTTCCTATAGCACTTAGCAAGTTTTCTTCTTCTGCTGGGAGTTTCTCTTCTAGTTTGTTTTGAATTTTATAAAATGTACACACTTTTAGAAGGTCCAGGGAGTGGGTGAAACTAACTTTAGAATTATGTAGTTTATCTAAGTGTGTGTGTATCCTAAATATATTTGTATGTTGACATACATATAATCCACCACTTACTTATAAACGGACACTAACATTTGATTAAAAAAATAAAAATATTTATGCTAGCTAGTTCTGCAAATTGTTTTATGTGAAAACTGTATCATTAAAAGTAATTTTAAGTCTGTGCTTGCAGAAGTAGTCTATATAGCCATGAATCCCTACATCAGAAAGAAATCACGTAACTTCAGTTTCCCTAAGATGGACTATATTATGCTAAAAAAATATACTAAGAATAAACATACAAAAATGAAGACTGTAGCTGACTAGGCCTGTGGTGAAAATGGACTACATCATCCTCCCTCTCTGTTCTCCCTGTTGATATGCCATCTAAATGCTACACAGGTGTGGCTGAATGAATGTCTACGCAGTTTCTTCACTTTCCACATATAGAAACCTGTACTTTCATGCAGCATAGAATATACAGAAATAAAAATTTAAACTAACAAATTGAAATCCCCGAGATAAAACCACACATCTGTGGACAGCTAATCTTCGACAAAGGAGCTGAGAACATACAATGGAGAAAAGAAAGTGTCTTCAACAAATGGTGTTGGGAAAACTGGACAGCCACATGTAAAAAAATGAAAATAGCCCATTCCTTTATGCCATTCACAAAAATCAACTCAAGACCTGAAACCATAAGACTTCTAGAGGAAACTATAGGCAGTACCCTCTTTGGCATCAGTCTTAAAAGGATCTTTTTGGACACCATGTCTTCTCAGACAAGGGAAACAATAGAAAGAATAAACAAATGGGACTTCATCAGACTAAAGAGCTTCTACAAGGCAAGGGAAAACAGGATTGAAACAAAAACACAACCCACCAACTGGGAAAAAATATTTGCAAATCATATATCCAACAAAGGGTTAATCTCAATAATATATAAAGAACTAACACAACAACAAAAAATCAAGCAACCTGATCAAAGAATGAAGAGATTTCTCAAAGAAGATATACAGATGGCCAGTAGGCACATGAAAAGATGCTCATCATCACTGATCATCAGGGAAATGCAAATCAAAACTACACTAAGATATCACCTTACACCCATTAGGATGGCTAAAATAACCGAGACGAAAAATAAATGTTGGAGAGGTTGTGGAGAAAAAGGAACACTCATACACTGCTGGTGGGAACATAAACTGGTGCAGCCACTATGGAAATTGGAGATTCCTCAGATTTAAAAAAGAAATACCATATGACCAGCCATCCCACTACTGGGTATTTATCCAAAGCTTGAAATCAACAATTCAAAGAAACTCATGCACCCCTATGTGCATTGCAGCAGCATTCACAATAGTCAAGACGGAAGCAAACCAAGTGCCTATCTAGATAAAGAAGATATGGTATACGTACACACGCGCACACAATGAAATACTACTCAGCCATAAAAAAGGATAAAGTCATCCCATTCACAACAACATGGACGGACCTTGGTATTATGTTAAGCGAAATAAGCTGGATAGAGAAAGACACACTTGGTATGACCGCACTCATATGTGGAAGATAAACACATGCACAAAGAGAACAGATTAGTGGTTACCAGGGGAAAGGGAGGTGGAGGGTGGGCACAAACGGTGAAGTGATGCACCTATAACATGACTGACAAATAATGTACAGCTGAAATTTCACAAGATTGTAAACTATCGTAAGCTCAATTAAAAAAAACATGTAAACGTCCTGTAACTGCTTCTATCAGTGAGCCCCTCCTATGTGTCCACAACTGGGCTAGTAGGTTCAATACAGAAATCATAAACCATCGTCTATTTGAACACATTTTTAATTTCTGTTCCAGTGATCACATTAACCGATAAATGGTAACCCTTAGCCAGGGTTTTGTGGAAAAAAGGGACAGGACACTTGTTTCCCATTAATGATGAAATTGCAACTGAATGTCTATTTCAATTAAGTTAATTACCCCACCTCAGTATTGGATTCTGCAAGTAAACAGATGCTAAGCTGGCCTTGAGACTTTTGCACAAGAACTAACTTCTAGGTCATGTGCTGGAATCAATATTTACTCAGTGCAATCACTAAGATATTTTATATATGTACTTCTTTATAAAAAGGAATACTGTTAAGCATTACCTTGAATTATCAGAGGTGGCAGCTGGTATTTTTGACCATGTAGCCATGTGGATTCGTATACGTAATGTAAGATCAATACACAGTCAGAACTGTTGTATTTCAGTTAATTGAAATTTTTACTGTTTGGGTTTTTTTTTCTTTTTTTAACTGCCTTTCAGAATGCTAGCCATTTATATATTGAGAGGCTCTGTTCAGAGCAACTTTCTAAAGAATGTAGACTGCGTTGAGAAATATGAATCATGTAGCAAGGCAAATTTTAAGAAACACAATTGCAGAATTATACCTTTTCATCCAAAATGGTTGGATTACCAGGTTCCTGTGAAAATTCCTTGTCCATAAAGGTCATATTCTTCGTAAAGGATATATGCTTTTAGACGATTGGGTAAAGGAAGAAATGACATGAAGACAGGGCAGCGCAAACGTAAACGTCCCATACACTTCCGGATCTTTAGGCGGCACAAATGTTTTAGGGAGCGAGGGTTTGCTAAAATGAAAGAGACAGGCACATTATCCAAAAGGAAAAAGAATTGCTGTATTTCTTAGTGATCTTGGGGTTTAGTTAGCAGATGTATTTTATGCTTAAGCCGTCAAGATTTTCACTTGCTGTGACACGTGGGAAAGTTAGTAGGGAAACAGCTTTGCGTTTCTCATTGCAGCCCTTCTCGTAGACGTTCCCAGAGCCACATCAGGTTAGAGACTAAAGACTAGCATCAGTTGTGGGTCTGGCTTGTGAGACCTAAAGTTCTTAACTCTGAATGTGTTAACCCCCTATCCTGCCCATCAGGGTCAGGCTCAAAACTAAAGATCGCTACCCAGGGGGAAATGAGATAAAAGAAATTCTTAATTTGACTTATGTGCTACTGTGAAAGAATTTGGTTTGAAAGGGCATTTGATATCCTCTACAGGCTTAGATCGTAGGTTTTTCTCATCTCTGTTTTTATTGCCATATCATAGCTTTTAATTCCTGTGTCTACAGTGTTCCATGAGATTAGGAGAAAATTACTACCTACCTATATAATAAAGAGTTACCAAACAGATTTGGTAATAAGTACAAATTAATTGTAATTATAAACAGTAACATTTTTTAGATAGGAATAGTATTTTTCTTGGTTTCTTTAGGCAAAAAAGAATGTTCTACAAAACAAATAAGAATACAATTAGTATTTTCGTTAAGAATCTTCTACAAGAAAGAAACTCACTCAAGATAAAATGGATTTCTGACCAGAGTCCCTGTTTTTGGAGCACAGCTTTCAACTTTGAACAGATCCGAACTTGATCAACGTAATCAAGCATCACTCGAACAACCTTTCCAGACAGATGTTGCAGCCATGACAAAGTTATTACTTCACAGAACTGAGGAAGAAAATCAGAACTATGAAAGTAAATGAAAAACTAAGTATCTATGGTTTAAATAGCAATCAAAAGAGCACTCAACTCAGAGTCAGGAACCAAGGTCTCAGGTGCTTCATTTGTAAGCAAAGGTGTCCAACGAGAAAACCTCTTTCTTAGGTCTGACATTTGGAAAGATACTACTTGTCTTCAGAACTATGTAAGATGTAATGTGGGTGTGAGAGAGACTGTTACAGAATATTAGCCCCTTTGATTGGCCACGTGGTTGTCTGGAATAAAGATTAACTTTCTAGCCTCACTCACACCTAGATGTGCCCACCTAAGTTCTAGCCAATGAGATGTAAGTGGAAGTGTGAGCACTTCCCAGAATGCCCTTGAAGAAGAGCAAGGTGTGTGCTCCTTCCACCTGCCTGCCTTCCTACTGGCTGGAATGTGGATTTGAATTTCTCCTGTGACTCATGGAGCTGTCCAGTTAGAAGGCTATTTACTTTTGACCTTTGTTTAAATGAGAGGGGAATGAGCCATCTTGATAAAGCCACTCTTATTTGAGGTTTTCTATCATTCATAACCTGCTCCCACCCTGATACTTGAGGGATATGATAGTTTCTGTTATTAAGTAATTTACATGCTCTTAGATAAGATGCCTGTGTAAGAAGTCAAGTAATGCTATATGAAAAATCAGGAAATAATGCAAGGTGATATATGCTAAATGCCAAATCCCACATTAAACATAACCCGAAAATAATAAACATGCAGTATTAAAATATTTTCCCTTTCACTTTTCAGAATTGATTCAAAGTGCTTTCTCCACTTCATGTCCTTTCTATTTTCAGATTTTAATATGAATTGAAGTATTTATACTGCATCTACTGTATGCTAAGCACAGATCTCTAAGCTGAGGAAAATGGTGAACAAGAGCTTATATTCATGTATTTGTGGGGAGACATAATCAGTAAAATATTAAAAAGATAATTTCAGAAAGTGATAAGTGCTATAAAAGAAATGAACAGCATTATAAGAGAATGATCAGGGAAGGGAACTACCTTAGATAAGGTGGATAGGGAATGGCCTCTTTGAGGAGGTAACACTTGAAATGAAATCTGAAGGGTGGCAGCTATTTGAGAAGTTGGGGGAAGTGCTCAAGTTGGCAAAATAGAAGAGACTGATGAGATAGGGGGAAAATAGGAGATTGTGGTTGATGAAAGCCAAGAGAAAAGTCTCAAGAAGCAGGGAGTGGTCAACTGTACTTATTGGGATTCTTTTTTCATCAAAAAGTAATTAGAGAAAACCATTTAACCAAATGTTAGAGCCAAAAGAGAGAGCTGAAAACCTAGGGGTACGGGTGTCAGCAAACCAGAAGGATTTTAGCTAGATAACTCATTTTTTCAAAGAAAAAGCATTACTGGTATAAAAGACTGCATTCATTCTTCAAAACATTGCTCAGGTGTTGCTTCATTGTGAAACTCTAGGTCGAGTTGTCACTTTTTCTATATCTTTTATATCTTTCTACTATTGTGTTTATTTTTTATATAACGTATTAAAATTTTCCCAACCATGAGCTTCTGGAGAGAATGGATAGTCTTTTTCATCTTTTTCTTTTTAAGGAAGATTAGCCCTGAGCTAACATCCACTGCCAATCCTCCTCTTTTTGCTGAGGAAGACTGGCCCTGAGCTAACATCTGTGCCCATCTTCCTCTACGTTATATGTGCGACACCTACCACAGCATGGCTTGCCAAGTGGTACCATGTCTGCACCCAGGACCTGGACTGGCGAACCCTGGGCCATCAAAGCAGAACATCCGAACTTAACCACTGTGCCACCAGGCTGGCTCCTAGAGTCTTTTCTATTGCTGTAGTTCAGGGCCACCGATAATGACTGTGTAAGGTGATATAGTCGATACTGTGGACTTACCATAGTATCTTTGATAACTGTAGATGTCCAGCCTTCAAAAGTATAGGAGGGATGTACTTTGTCTCCATGAGGACAATCAAAGCATCGCTCTGTGTCATACCCATAATTTAACAGCATCCTGAGCATGACTTCATCTTTCAGTGTGTATTGCAGTGCTGATGGGAAATGTAAAGGGTTGACTCTGCAGAAGTAATTGACGTTGGCCCCATGCCGCAGCAGCAGACTTATCAGCTCATAATTGCCCATCCTTAGGGCTATCTGGAGGCAGTTAACTGGATCTTGATTAGGCAGAGCTCCAGCGCTCAGAAGCAACTTAACTGAAGAGAGGTCGCCATTTGATACAGCAAAATACAAAGCTGACTTCCTGTGGTCATCATAGTGTCTGCGAATTTTCTGATCTAGCATGAAATTTACATCAAATCCAGCCTGAATGAGAAGTTCCAGGCATTGAGCATGTGCTCCTGCTGCTGCACAGTGAACTGGACTGATGCCACTCCGCTTGATGGCAGCAAAATCCGTAACTGGAACCAAAGTCTTTAGAGCTCTGAGAAAAAATTTCAAGGTGCATTTAAAAATAGTTTTTGTTAAGGTGCAGCATTAACCTGTTCATGATTGTTTTATACTCCACTGGACGGTATTAGTATTAGGTGGTATATTTAGAACCGCCAACCAAAAAAAAGCGTAATTCCTGCATCCAAAAGCTCAGATACCAAGTAAGGCTAAATGAAACTCCTGTCTAGATTATAAAACTCAGAATTAGTCCAATCAGTGAGATCTGAGGCTCCCCATTATTGCCTAAAGAGCTGATGATAAAACAGTTTTATGTCTCTTCAGTGGCTACAGAATATGCTGACTCTACCTCTCTAGCTGGTCAAGAGTTTTTTAGCTTTAAAAGGGGTGTTGGAGTTATAAGATCAGGGATGAAGGCTATAAAGTTCTGAGAAGCTGCTCCAAAAATAAATAAAGTAGCTATTACTGTTTCTATTATTTGCAATAATGTAATTGAACTTACAATAAATGGCCTCTGTCAGCTGCCACATGAATGGGCAGGTGGCCTGAATTCTTAGGGATGTTGGCATCAGCTCCATGCTCCAGCAAGAGAGTCACAGAGTCTGGATTTCCTCCACGAGCGGCTTCAAGTAAGATGGAAGAAGAATCAGAGGCCTGACCAAGAGCATTAGCTCCTAAGAGAAGAGAGAGTCTTGTTATGCAAAGTCTTTTCCACTGTATTGCTTAAGCATCCTTAAAAAAATATACCACCACCTCCAAAAAGCAATTATTGAGCAGCCACTTTAGCAAAGCACTAAGAATCAAAGAAATAAAATATATGTCTCTGCTCTCAGGCAGCTTATAATCTAGTTGAGAAGGAAAAAAATGGTGCAGTCTCTAAGTTATGAGTAGGTTGGCTTTCAGAGTAATTTTATGTTGTTAGTTTGAACTTGAAAATTGCAGGAGAAATAATTTTACAAAAGGTGATTTTATTTCCAGACCAGCCTTCAAAAGCCTACTTAACTCATAACACACTTATATATAGGATGGTACTAACAATCCTGTCGAACTCTCTCACCATGCCATCTAATGATGACGTTATGGTGGAAAAGGGCATTTGTTCTGTTTTCACTGGTTCTTAGGGGGTTGTTCATAGTAAGAGACCCTGTAGTTTTTATTTGAAGTTGTGGACTGATGATAGTTAAAAGGATAAATTGTAGTACCCTGTACATTAAGCATCGTGAGTGGGGTGGATAGTAAGAGTACAGGTATAGGCAAAATGTCCTCTAGAAGATGTCAGGGCCGGGACTGTGAGGGGCTGGGAAGTGAAGGAAGGAGTGTTGGATCAGTTGTGGAAGACCTTTCAGTAAAACAGGCTTTGAAGAAAGAGTAACATTTGAATAAACGAAAGGAGGGCATTCAGGGCACATTCACAGCTCGTATAAAAAGGATGTAGTGACTTTAATTTAGTACAGACTCCATAGTCATCCGAGTTTAGTGCCTGCCTACGAACTCTATTCCTAGAACGCATTAACAAATGTCTTATGAGCCTCCGTGGAATGAGTGCTCACTATGTGCTGGTTCCTTTATGTGCATCATAATTTCTGAACCTCACAACAACCATAAGAAGTAGATGATAATATCTTCATTTTAAAGATGAAGAAACTGAGGATCCTTGAGGTTAAATGACTTCCGCAGAGATGGACAGCTAGCAAGCAAGGTGGTCAGGACTCATGGGCAGGCGGGTCAGACCCAGGGCCTATTTCTGTGATGTCATGTTGCCTCTAGCAATGCAGGGTGGTAAAGTAATGTGCTTGGGAATCAAACAGATGTGTGTTCAAATCCTGGCTCTGCCATTTACTAGTTATGTCACTTTGTGCAAATTACTCTGTAAGTGGGTTACCTAAGGAAAATGCTCACTCACTGACCTCATTGAGGTCAACAATGCTGGTTTCTCCGAAAGGTTAAGGATTTAAAATCTGTTGCCTCGCCTCTTTATGTTTTAATCAATGATGTACACAAAAGGTTACTTTTTCCTTAAAGATAAAGGATCCAGTGTTTACTTTTGTTATTCCAACTAATGACTTTAGACATCTCTGATATCACTCATTTAAAATATCTTAACAGCCATTGATTGGAAACTAGCCTTCCCTCTATGATTTAGATTTAAGGTTGTTCGGAGTCTTTGCTGTATGGAATATTGGAGATCAGGACTATATCTTGTTAAAGAAAGAAGGCTTCTGGACACAAACAGGGAGGAGAATAAAGAAAATAATTCGAATATCGGGACTTTATTAAATCTTGGTAAAGGTTTGTTTCTTTGAAAACCAAAAAGCTTTAGATACTACATTGCTTCATCTAACAGTGTCATCAGTGGAGTTCTCCGCAAAGACAATAAATGCTGACGTTCTCTGAGCCAAAGTCTCCGCCAGTTAAACCAGGAGCTAAAATGGCCACAGCTACAGCATTGGTGGCAGGCAGAGGCATGTTTGAAGGCAAGTGTTGCAACTGCTACCATCTCTGACCCTCACTTTCCTCAAGTGCAAAATGAGGACAATGCCTACCTCACAGAGTTTTTAGACGATGACATGAGGCAACATAGGTAGCTCAATGCCTGGTACTTAGAAAGTACTTGAGAAATATAATTTGGCTTCCCCTTCTCTCAGAGTTTTGGTTATTACTAGAGGGGAGAACTGGGACCCAAAGAGAAGAAATCAGGAAGAATCTCTTAACAACTGAAGTCATCAGATAAGAGCTGGGACTGCCTCATGACCATGACCTAGTTTAAGCAGAGACAACGTGTAGGGGGCGTTGCAGGGTCTTTGATTCTATGAATCTAGAAAAGGACACCACCACCAAAAAACGTTTAAAAAAACCCAAAAACAACTATCCTCTTAACATGGTCAGGGAACATTAAGTAAAAGAGGAACCTGCATCCTAGTAATTTTAGGAAACTTATTTCACACCAAATAAATTCAGTCTCCGACTGTTTTAGGCTTTTCAGTAGTCAACATTAACACATACTTTTATCAAAAGTATGTGTTTTTTGTATTAGGCTTAAATAAAATATTAACTTCTCTTATTTTGAAGCTCTCCCTGAAGAGGAGAATGCTAGGGTCATGTTACCCCTTTGTAGTGTACTGACTGTATGGAAAATCTTGCCTTTCTGCAGTAATATTTCCATGATTTCAGTGTGTCCACTTTGGGCAGCAAGAGCCAGAGGAGTGAATCCATAGGAGCTCCGTGGGTCAGGGTGCGCCCCCGAAACCAGCATAAGCTTCACCATATCCCGTCTGCCCAGTTTGGCTGCTTCGTGGAGCGCTGTCCTCTCATTGGCACACCGCAGATTGACATCCGCCCCATAACTGATCAGCAAGGAGGCCATGTCATAGGAATCATGTAGCACAGCTGGGAAATCAGAAGTGAGGTGGGCATTATTTTCAACAGGAAATGAAGGCCAGAGTATCTTATCAGCTAGTGTCCCTCAGGCTTCCTAAGGACCTCTTCCTACCTCCCCTCATGTGCCTGCATTTTGTGTTTAGGAAAACAGATTGCAAAATGAGGCATCTATCAATATTAATAGTGTTTTACATCAGTAGGCTGTTGGCTTTTCTGTAAGCCATGACCAATTATTGTCTATTGGCTGCAAAAAAAATTTTCATTTATCATCTTTATTTTCCCAAGAAAATGGGAATTTAAGTATGCAGTACAGACCTAGATATGCTTGTAGCTGCTTTAAATGAAGAAAAACAAAAACAGCATTAGGAATTTAATTAGGAATTTATTTTTAAACTATTAGGAATTATTTATTAGGATATTATTTTTAACCTCACATTTTGTTAATCAAAATTCTCCAATAATTGGCTTTTCTCTATTTATGCTGTCGATTCACATTTGGATGATGATCTTCAGTCTTTCAAGATCCTAAAACCCCTATTTCCCTGTCTGTTTGCTAATTATTGGCACCTACTGTGTGTGAGGACTCTTGCTTGGTGCCAGACCCTGAATCAATATGAATTCTGCTCAAAACCACTTATAATGTGTTGTAGAAAGTGCTCTAATTGCTCTCAGACTGGAAGTATAGAGTGCCAAGGGGGTTGGGTCTTCTTTAATTCATTGAGCTGGCACTTAGTGTGCCCTTTCATTCTGGAAACACATGTCCTTTGTTTTAGGAAACCGTTTTCTTGACTTATTTCATTGAGGGTACACTGTTCCATCTCGTGTCTCCTCTTCCCAGCGTTCCTATTATTCACACATTGCTCCTCTTAGATACTCCTCGTTTTTTTTTTTTTTTTTTTTCCTATTTTCCATTTCTTACCGTCTTCTTCTGGAAGCTTTCCTAAACTATCTCCCAGCATTTGTTTTGAGAGCTTTATATTTCTGCTATCATATTTTTAATTTTTAAGAATGTGTTTTGTTTTTTGATAGTATCCTATTATTTCAATTTTCATTAATTTCTCTGATGAAATTAATGATAATTTTCCCCTACATTTTATTTTCCCTAAATAATCTGCTTCCTCCAAGTTGCCTATCTCTATTGGTTTGTTGAGAACTTTCCTCAGATAGTCCTTGGGTACCTGCTCATGTTAAGAGTTAGGAACTAAAAAGCTAATTGGAAATTCTAAACATTGGGTGAGGCTTGTGGACTGTGACTTTTTTTTTCTCCAAAGCCCCAGTACATGGTTGTACATCCTAGGTGTAGGTCCTTCTACTTATTCTATGTGGGAGGCCGCCACAGCATGGCTTGATGAGTGGTGCTAGGTCTGCACCCAGGATCTGAACTGGTGAAACCCTGGGCCACTGAAGCAAGCGTGCAAATTTAACCACTACACCACCAGGCCGGCCCCTGGACTGTGATCTTATCTGTAGGTTGATATGCCTGGGGCATTTGTTGGGGAACACCCAATTTCACTATCTTTGTTTTTTTTTTCTTGGGCTGATCAAATTCTCCAGAGAAACCTCCTCTTGGAGGGTGAAGTTGTGGCTGCCAGCTTTCTAGGATCCTGGTGGTGGAGGAGGGCTGGGAGGTTTATGTTTGCTTAGTTCCTCCAGTGTTTTCAGTCCAGTACTCCTGCCCTCACCTAACATCCTTCAGTCCAGGGAGCCTCTGCTTAAACTATCCAGAGAATAAGCTTCCAGAACTCTCCTGGGGCCGGGGAGGAGTCTGTCCCAGCAGGTGGATTGGGAGAAGTGATCTAGAGATCTGACTACTTGTTCCTTAATAGTTTTCAACCAATCCTCCTATTTCAGCTGCCCATCCTTCACCCATGTTCCATGAGGTAACTATTGCCAATGATTTCCAGACCTTTTGATATAATTGTGCTAGGTTTTGGCTTTCCCCACTACCAATTAAGATTTGGCTTTCTTGTCACTTATTACTCATCCATCTGCTCTCCAGGTTTAAAAAATCATGTTGTTGTTGTCTCCTCTCCTCTTCTTCCCATTCTTTTGTATCTTAACGCTTTAAAACAATTGCTTAACTGCAATTTTAGTGAAGACTCAGGAGGGAGCAAGATTAGTCATTTGTATTCAATATGCCGTCTTTACCCAGCCATTGGCTGCTGCTTCCTACTTTGCTCCTCTATTTCTTACACCAGAATTAACTGGTTCAATTAAGGCACCAAGCAAAATGATCAACTCTTAATTGGTCATAGATTTTGCATCAGGCCAGCTCTAGAAATCTTTGTGAGAGTCCAGTACCCATGTCTGGTCACTTGGGACCAAAGTGACAGTGCTACAACTATGCACAAAAAGCTGTCTCTGGGGGCCAGCCCCGTGGCTGAGAGGTTAAGTTTGTGAACTCCACTGCAGCGGCCCAGGGTTTTGCTGGTTTGAATCTGGGGTGCAGACATGGCACCGCTCATCAGGCCACGCTGAGGCAGTGTCCCATATGCCAAAACTAGAAAGACCCACAACTAAGAATATACAACTATGTACCAGGGGCTTTGGGGATAAAAAGGAAAAAAAAATAAAATCTTTAAAAGCTTAAAAAAAAAAAAAAGTTGCCTCTGAAACCCGTGGACATGGAGGAGATTCAGAGCCACAGACTCTTCTCCAGAGACAAGGGGTTAATTTACCTGTAAGAAGAGGAGAATTGCCTTCGAAATTCTTGGCATTCGGATTGCAGCCATTGAGAAGAAGAAAATTGGCATTTTCTAAAAGGCAATTGCTGACAGCCAAAAAAAGTGGCGTTTCACCATCGTGGGTGGTTTGCTCCCACACACTGGGTTTCGAAGCTGAAATAAATCCATTAGACCAAACAGTTTAGGATACAGAAATAAATGTTAAATCGATTTCTCAGAAGCATCACAAAGAGTTATAAAGGAAGTTTACCTTTCAGAGTTATTTCCAAAATGTTCTTATTTAATTGCACTGCAGCCTTATGCAGAGGAAGCCAGCCTATCCTATCTGCTTCATCAAAAGCAGAACGGTACTTGGTCAAGTGTGACAAGGCATCTTCCTTACCTATTAATAAGCCAAATGAAAACAGATTCACATTTGGCACACATAAATGGCAGCCCCATATTGCCATTAAGGTTAGGCATGAGACAACAGAATTCTAGCACCACTTTCTATGAAAGACAAATTTAAATGGCATTGGACAAACAAGCAGTAAGGCCTTTTATCTAGCACTCTACACCACCGAGCCCTGTGAATACCCATCATCGTGTCACATTCAGAAAAAAAGTCTGTCCATGCAGGAGTCAGGAGCTCTTAGTTAGGTTGTGCTGAAGCATTTTCTCCCAGGAAAGGCCACAGCAGCTGTGGATGCCATGGTCTTAAGCATTGAGGAGAACCTGCTTCTAGGCTTCCTGTTGTTACCAACACATCTTATCACAAGTTGAAGGGGATAGAATAGGAAGAGTACTTAACTGTCTCTATTGTTTCAACTATCTTCTTCCAGTCAGTGCTCACAAAGGAATGGAAGCTGCAAAGGAAAAAAATATATATGTAATTCCAATGCTGAGGGAAAAACTGAGGCATCTGATATGAAACAAAAGGAAGGGTAAAGGCAGCAGTGGTTAAGTAGTTCACATGAGATGAACTCTCGTTTGAGGCAATGACTGGGGCTTAAGAGAAATACTTCCAAAATGTAGTGTGGCCCTTAATGCGTTCTGAGGAATCTCCTCTCCCATGTCTGTCTTCCCTTGTTGGACTGTTAGCTTCTCTACGGCAAAGACCGTAAGCCAGCCTGGAACACAGTAAGCCCTCAATCAATGTTTGCTGAACTGAATCAAACCTGCCTAGGACTGAAATATCACATTATCATATGGTAAAATTTAACGGCCACTCTATAATGTGAGTGTAACAAAAATTATTAACAATGGTAAATAACCATGGTGCGAGTTTCACAAAATATTCATGGTCAGAATTTGTGCTCAGAAAACACTATTAGCAGTTTTGTTTAAGTAATGTTTTTATTAAAAGATTTAAAAATAAAGTTTTGCAGCTCAACTTATGAATCTTATATTATTTTTAAATACAGTAAATAAAGACTGTCTCCTTCCTATTATCTTTGACTATTCAATGCACCCAGCTTGAGGAGAATAAATTCCCTTAGACAATCTGTACTATTTACAAGTTGGTCGTCAATTAAATTCTTTTAAACATTTAAAACTGTACTTACAGATTTAATGTTGTATTGGTTTCCTGTGGCTGCTGTGAGAAATTACCACACACTTAGTGGCTTAAAATAACACAAATCTATCACAGTTCTGCAGTTCAGAAGCATGAAATGGGCTCACTGGACTAAACTCAACGTGTCAGCAGGGTCGCCTTCCGGAGGCTCCAAGGGGAGAATCCACTCCTTTGCTTTTTCCAGCTCCTGGGGGCCTCCCACATTTCTAGCCTCATGGACGCCTCCTCCATCTTCAAAACCAGCAATGTTGGGCCACGGCCCTACCATCTCTCAGATTCTTTCTCTTCTGTCTCCTTCTTCCACCTTTAAGGACCCTGGTGATTACTTCGGGCCCACCTGGGTAAATCCGGGCTCCTCTCCCTATCGTAAAGTCAACTGAGTAGCAAACTTACTTCGACCTGCAGCCTTAATGCTCCCTCGCCATGGAAGGTTCCATAGTCACAGGTTTTGGCGATTAGGACGGGGGCTTTTTTTGTTGCATCGGGGGCATTTTCCCACCTGTCTCAAGTATATTCTAGTTTCCTAATTCCTTCAGGTGCCTGACCAAATCAGCAAGCCTTCCTGAATATCATACAATTCTTGCAAGTCTAAGAATTGAAATTTATAATATAGTCAATTTTAATTTCTCTGATAACTTTCAATATTCTTGATCAAAATCTCTTACGCCCTTTAGCCTAAAATCATGACTTCAAAGTCAATTACTCAATGAACTTTAAAATTTTTAATCACAAAGTTAATATAACAGATAATCTAATGAACCCAATTTCTTTACAAAACTTTAACTATTTAAAGATTATTCCTAAATTTAACACAAAAGTGTAGGAATAGTATGGTACAGAGCACCGACTCTGAAGCCAGGCTGCCTGGCTCTTCACTTACTAGCTCTGTGACCTTGGGTAAGTCACTTAACTTCTCTGTGCCTCAGTCTCCTCATCTCTAAATGGGGATAATAATAGTACCTGCCACATAGAGAGGTAATTTGAATTAGAATTTAAATGGGGTAATAATTATGAAATGCTTGAAATAATGTGGCATACAGTGATCACTCCTTGACTTTGTTACTTTTAAAAAATACTATAGTTTGATGTACTTCAACTTCTCTATTTAATTGTAAAATCTCTTGGGGTTAAAACATATTTATCCAGTTTTACCTCTCAGCAGGCATATAGAGGTCACCATCCCAAGCAAATAGGGTTTATCACCCCTGAAAAACAACAGTAACTACTCAGAGGGCTGTGGATGCTGAGCAGCCAGAGGGCACTGGACTAGGTGCGCCTGGCTGCAGATAGCCCATATCCAGGGCAATTCTCTCACACCACTGAGGAACACACGGAGTCCTTCTCTAGTGTTATCATAAGTGAACTCTGAATCCACACCCTTCAGAAGGAGTTAGTCTCTTCCGGGTTTAAGTTTACATAGTTCTTCCTCTTGATTTGATAGATTAAAGATTGGACCCTACCCCATCCACCTGACTGAGGTGGCAGATAAGTTTGTATGTGTCTTGGTTGGACAAGTCTCAACTGTTGGATACTTATACCACATTGCCAATGGGACCATTACCTCTCCTCCTCAGGTGCCTGCTGTGTAGTTCCTGGCTTGTGAATATCCTGTAAACTCTGTTGAATGATGAGCTGGGTGTCAAAGTCATCATCTCCGTCTTCGTCGCTGGTGTAATTATCCATGTGAAATGAGGACAGACTTCCTTTAAAGTTAGAAAGAATTAAAACTATTTTTCCCGTTGTGAACACAGATTATCAACTGCTTAAAATTACAAATGAAATTCAGAGAAACACAAAATTGATAGGACTGATAAATGAAGAAAATACAGAATTTAGAAAACAAAATATTCACTTAAAATTTTTTTCCATAAACTTAAAACAGTTTTCTGAACTGCCACAGATTCAATATAAATTAGAAGTTTCCATGAGTAGCCATTTACTTAAAGCTTATTCAGGGAAAACAGCCTTTCATATAAAACTTAGGTCAGTGCCATTGTAACTATGAAAATGCTCAGATTCATCTATTTTAGACTTGGCTTATGAGTTTTTCTCAGTGACTGTAGCACTCATCGAAAAGAACATCTTTCCTACACACAGTGAGTGTTATACTGAAAATAATATTGTATTTAGTTAGTAGAGTCTAAAAAGAAATGTGTTATACGAATAAACGGACTATCGTAATACAACATGTAACAGGAATGGTGGTAGTAAAACACGATGTATTTTATTAGACAATATCTCAATGGTTTTAAAAGAACATTTGTTTTAGCAGAGAATAGGTTTGATCACATACCAAAGGCTTTTTACCTCTGTTATGTCCTTTAGGACGGCACTGAAGTTCTTGCTGTTGAAGATGAGTGCATCAGAATTTTCATTTCTATTTAGGATCTCCACTCCCCTGGAGTTGCCATTCCATTAATAGCTTTACTATAAATACTTGATCATGAGACAGCCTGGCACATTCTCCTTGTTTTTTACATGTGGTTTAGCTCTGTTGGGAATCATTGTCTCTTTTCTTCGCTGCTATAGTCATTGAATTGAAAGGATTAAACATCTTATTCCTGGAGTAGAGTGCTTTGGCAGGGAGCTGGCCATGTGAAGTGAGTTCATTCTCTTAAGACTCATCTCAGAGCCACTGCAAACCAGAAGCAGTTTTCCACTTGAGAGGCCAAACATTTTGCTCTGACTGAATTATCACAAGTGACTGTCCCAATGGTCCTCATTCATTGTGTAGCTGCACCTACATTTTCTTTGGGTTATAGAGCTGCACCCTAAAGTGTCCTGGGAATCCTAAGAAAGGAATTAACTCCACGCGAGATAATAAAATTTTGACTATAATTTTGTTTTGTTGAAATGTTTTAAAATTGCTAATGTATACTAATAAGTGCATACTAAATAAGAATATTAACTACTAAAAATAATGAATAGACTACTTGGCATTTCCAATTAAAGATGAAGTAAATGCCGAGAAGCACAATATTGCCTCAGGTACATAGGATTGCCCTCCAGCCATCTTACTCCTTTTTTTTTTTCCCTGAGGAAGATTAGCCCTGAGCTAACCTTTTCCACCAAGGCTCCTCTTTTTTGCTGAGGAAGCTTGGCCCTGAGCTAACATCTGTGCTCATCTCCTTCCACTTTATATGTGGGATGTCTGCCATAGTGTGGCTTGATATGGTAGTTAGGTCCACGCCAGGATCTGAACCAGCAAACCCTGGGCCGCCGAAGCAAACTTAACCACTCTGCCACTTGGCTGGCCCCCATCTTACTGCTTTTGTATGTCAGCTTTACCGCTCAGAGTTTCCTTGTCACGAGGGTTCTGCGAGAAACAGAACTAATGTTTTAAAAATATGAGGTAAAGGGTTTAGTTCTGGAATTGTTTTAATATTTTCCTTGTTTGCAATTTATTTACTTAGGTATTTGAAATGTTCGTGTATAATCACTTCAGGTAGGTGAATGGAAAGTAAACCATGACTGAAGCTGAAGAAATGACTTATTTGTGAAAAGAGATAATTTCTGATGTTAGTTAAATTTTATCCAATTAGTCTCCCTAAATCGGCTTTTCACATACATATCAAACCAAAAAAAAAAGGAACTAAATAAAAGTTTCAAAGATTTTTCATATGCTTCAAAGAAATATTTCTTTTCACGTTTTCCTTCCACAGGTGTCTGACTGAGGTCCCAGAGGAGTCCGTCCAGAAGGCTGTACTCCACTCAGGAGTGGCGCATCAGGGAGAACAAGGCAAAGACCCTTCACAAAGACCATTTCAAAGAATGACACCAAAATATTTCGTTTTATAATATAAGTATATTTTGAAGTAAGTGAAAACAATACATTTTTTAAATCTCTTTCAGATGTTTTCTTAATTTGTCCAATTTAGTCATCCAACTGACAAAGCAGAGCGACTCCACGCTTGATCCAGTGTTGAGTGGGTTGGTTTGTTTTTAACAACATTGCGATGACAAAGTTAGTAGAATGTCCTGTAGTGGAAAGAGTTCCTTTACGTTCACTTGTCTTGTAAAGGGGACAGGTGTAGGCATTCGACTTCACAATTTGAGACTTCTTAGCTTGAAAAAAAAAAAATTCATTTGATAAAGGAAAAACAGCTACTGGTACTAAAAGAACAACTATTTATCTTGTAATAAAATGACCAGTACTAAATCTAGGATCATGACTACGATATTTGAACATTTTAAAGTTGTTTTTTTACAGTTGGTTTATAATTGTGGTTGTGAAACAAGGCGAGTGATCTCATCTGGTGCACGATTTCAGGTCTAGAGGACAGGAGTTGATTATTTTTTTCACTTTATTTTTATTTATTTATTTATTTTTTTGGACAGAGGAACTTGAGGTCATGAGGAATTGATTTTAAAGTCCTGATCACTTAGCAGGCATGAAAACACTCAAGCAGACTTGGGAGACAAGAAGTAAGAAAAGAAGAATGTAGGAAAGAAGGAATAAAACACAGCATAGATCATGGAGGAGATGCAAAAAGAAACACAGCTGCCTAGAGCTCTCCTACAAGAGACTCATAAATTAGAAGAAGCTGAAGTTACTATTTGTTTTCAGCAGGTTATTCCTAAGAAAAACACACCAACTCTTACCTACTCACAGAAAAATCTATATACAATCCTTGAAAAACCAGATATGAGATATTAGGAGTCTTTCTAAACTAAGGCCATATTTCTCATAGTTATAATTGAACTGCATTAATAATAAAAATACTTAATGGGTTGGGTGGTGATTGTGGGTGGTTTATAAATGTTTTCATTTCTAGTTATTTGAGAAAAAAAAGATTAGAGAAGAGATAGAAAACAAAAGAATGAGCCTCAGTTGTTCAGACTTGTGGAAAAATGATGACAGTAGGAGAGAATGCACAAGTAACTTTCCCAGGGGGCAAACCGACCTCTATCCCGTGTGGCTTGCAAAGCCTATGCCTTGGGGCACTTGCTGGCTTCCAGGCCTAGGAGTTTCTTATAGCCAGGAAGCTCTAGTCGCTAGCTGGAGACTATGTCAAGACTATTTTGTCTCTGAGAAGTGTGCAAAGGCACTTCAGAATCAAAATATTGACGGGAAGTTCTAGACTGAAAAAGTAGAAGTGTGGGGGAGGGGCAAAGAAAATGTTACATCTCACAGGACAAGAGCAAAAAGAGGCAGAATGATACTCCTCAAATAATACAAATGCAGCACATAAAAGGGGGAACAATATATTTCCAATGTAAACATTGTCACTATTTATTATAATTGAACAAAACCCTAATGGGTTGGAGCAGAGACTTATTTCGGGGAGCAGTTAAAAATAGCTATCGTTATCCTCCCTAAAACTCCAAGAAATTATGTTAGATGTATATTTACTTGGTTTTATCCATATGATGGGCATCAGGTCAAACAGAAGTTTGGGATATTGTTCAGCGAGCAATCCACTGTGAAGAGAAATTAACAGATGTTTATTAGAAACGAGAAGAAATTTGCTTCTTAGAAATTGCTACTTAGATATTAGTTTTTAATACAAGAGAGGACCAGAGATATGCAGGAAAAGTAATGTAAAAAAACCAAACCAACAACAAAACCAAGCAAGAGGCAAAGAAGAATTTAGAAAAACAAAAGAAAATTATGGAAAGGCAATGTGTACAAACATTGGACCAATATCAATTCCTGCCAGTTTTTAAGTACTGTCCAAGAGGCAGACACTATGATATGTGATAACATCTGAGCCTCATAATGATCTTGTCCCCATTCCTATTCCTATTTCATAGATTAATAGTGGAGGTTCAGAGAGGTTGAGTACTTTTCTCACAGTAACACAGCTCTTTAGCACCAGTGTCAGGATTCATAGATCTGCCTATCTAGAAAATATGGTTTTGTTTCCTATGCTACATTGTTTGCTTGTTTGTTTGAAAGAAGGAGGAAAGAAAGGAAGGGAAAGATTAATACATATATAAGGAAAAGTAAGTTAAAAGAAATGTCAGTAGAGTGATGAGACGAAAAGCGATAGAAATAATCAAATGAGCTATGTGAAGCTAAGTCTTCTCATAACCCTGTCTTAGAATTATCTCTGTGGAACCACTTTCTTGCTTCTTCTTAAATGATTTACCTGCCTCGGCCTTTAACCTTCCCTTGAGAGCGTAGTCTAACCCTGACTCTGGAAATAGATGACTCTGCTTATTAATGGGATCTTTGAAGAGCAGGGCTCCCAGGGAAACAGTCTCGCCCCTTCTCTCTTACTCCTATGCATTTCAAACAGGTACAACATTGCTTAGTTTCCTAAGCTAAAAGTCAGTATTTATTTTAAATGTGTATTATGTCATCAAAATACACAAAAAAGTTTTCTGTTCACCAGTAGAAATGAGAACTTTACTGAAACTGTAAACTGTTTTAAACTGAGGGGGGCCGGCCCTGTGGCAGAGTGGTTAGGTTTGCGCACTCTGCTTCAGCGGCCCAGGGTTCGGATCCCGGGGCACTGCTAATGGCACCTAATGGCATCGCTCATTAGGCGGTGTTGAGGCGGCGTCCCACATGCCACAACCAGGAGGACCCACAACTAGAATATACAACTATTAATGGGGGGATTTGGGGAGAAAAAAGCAGGGGGGAACAAAAGAAGATTGGCAACAGTTGTTAGCTCAGGTGCCAATCTTTAAAAAAAAAAAACAAAAAAAAACCCCTGAGGCACTCCCACATATTACAAAATGCACGGTATCTTACAAAACAGAAGCAGCAGGAAATACTTTCAACCTCCTTTTCTAATAGTGAGATCATTGAAATATTAACTAAAAATTGTTCAGGACCTAAAAATACTCACTCTTCAATTGCTCCAGCCTAAGTAACGATTTACGGCAAGTGATGATTTATGGGAATACTTGCCGTATTCCCTAGAAGAGGCCTTTTGGTTGCGGGGAAAGAAAAGGCAGCAGACAGCTTATCTTGCCCATGATTCAGCTACAACTGAAGAGGTCTTTGCAGTTGACATTACTGACCTTTTTCTGTCCCAGCGCGCTCCATCGAGATATAATCCATGGATATAAACGCCATCTTCCGGTGCTGTCTCAGATATATCAGCAGGAATGACCTGAAGGCAGAGGCACACCCCAGTAACGATCTTCTCCCCAGACAACTTCATCTCATAAGGAAAATAGTAGCTAAATCTTCAGAACACATTCAGGGAAATTCCACCATATAAAAGCCTGTTAAACTATACATTTTTTTTCAGTAAAATATAAATGTAAAAATGTATAGTACGGTTCTTTTTGAAGCATTTATCAAGTTTTACTGTACCTCATATTAGTTTTTGCTAAAGCAGAAGAGCAGCATTGGGTTATTTGAATTGAATATTGAATTGAATTTATATATAAGTTCTATCATAGAGATAGAAAGATGAATACTAAATACTTTCTTCATGAAAAGCAAAGGATGGAAAGAAGTCAAATTGTTTATAATGGGCTATACAGATATAAATTCTGCACATCTTCCTTGCTTAAATATATGACTTCTATATAACGATACACTGTGTAGTTTAAGGAGTTACCGTACCTCAAATTCATATCCCAGTAAATCAATAGGGATGGTATATTTTCTGGCATAATTCTGCATAGCTCCCGTTAAAAAGGCTTGGGTGAAAAAGAAACCTGAGAGCCAAAACACACAAGGTTTTCCTGAATTATACCAGTCCTATAAAGGAAAAACAAAATGCATTATGTTCGTTTTTCAATTTACACAAGTGTCACCTGACATACAATTCCTGCTTCTGCTTTTTGTGTGTGTTACGTACACTTTCCATCACAGGACACCCTTCCTTGACACCAAACACACAACCTATCCTGGCCCTCCTAATTATTTTGCCTTCTAGTTACTCTTCTTGGAAAATACAAGCTAATTTTAACATGAACCAGAATAAAACAAAGTTTGAAAGATTCAGATCTTCTGCAAAAAGCCAAATGTAAATTATTTGGTCCCACTCAAAAGCAACCATCTTTAGACATCTTACACATTGTTTAACTATAGGCTTCACGTATTGATTCCAGTTCTTGAACCCTCTTAAACTCCCTTCCTCCATGCTCACTGCCCCCACGCCAGTTCAAATATTCATGGTCTTCTTTCTGTACCACTGTGAACATATCCTTGCTTCTTCCCCTATTCCACTCAATACACCCAGCACAATGCTCTGAGACTATACCTCACCATGCATGTTTGGATCAGGTTTAGCATCCTGCATAATACTGTACTGCCCCAGCAAATTAAAGCCTAAATACCTTAGTCTCCTCTTCAAGATACTTCACAATCTGGCCCCAAATTGTATTTCCAGCTCTATCCCTTTTAATTCCTGTTCAAGCATCTGAGATTCTAATCAGACTGCACTCTTTGCTGGTCTCTTTTCTGCATTGGGTGTACATCTGTTGTTTTTTTTTCTGCTTATCTTAAAGTGCCACTACTCTTCTATCCCTCTGCAGAATGAATCCTCCTGTGCTCTCAATCCAAGCCCTTCTGGTGGTGGAACTCCAGCTCCTGGGGTGGGCAAGTGATTCGTGCCTAGCCATTCATAGCTCCAGTCTTGTGATTGACTCAGGAATGGACATGCACACAAGGTCAGAGATGCAGAGACTCTTGCTGGGACTTTTGGGGGAAAGGCTCACTCTCAACTCTTTGAAGGTGTGTGGCTGTGAGGCCAGAACTGCTGTTGCTATCTTACTACCATCAGATGAGAACCTAAGTGAGAATGAAGTTAACCTACAAAGAAATGGAGCCAAGAGATGAAGTGCAAGAGGCCGGGACCAGGTAACCATGTAGGCCCCCAGGTCAAATCCTGCCTGGAGTCACTTTATCCCCTGGACTTTTCAGCTACATGAGGGAACAAGCTTTATTTTTGCTTACGTCAAAATTTTTACAACAAAATCAATCCTAAATGATAGAGTGCCTTTCATCCCACAGCTATCTCTAAGTCCTCTCTTCCTTTTTTTGCAGTAGCCTAAACCATTCATCCTTTATACGCAGCTCAAATGCTACCTCATCCAGTAAACAAACTCTGCTTTCCTGAGCTAAACGAACTCTCTTCCTTCTTTGAATTCGCAGATCATTTTGCGTGGTGGTTGTTTATGACATATTCCTTACTATGCCATATTAGTTTTTTATTTTGAGGAAGATTAGCCCTGAGCTAACTGCTGCCAATCCTCCTCTTTTCGCTGAGGAAGACTGGCCCTGAGCTAACATCCATGCCCATCTTCCTCTACTTTCTATGTGGGACGCCTACCAGAGCATGGCTTTTGCCAAGTGGTGCCATGTCCGCACCCGGGATCTGAACTGGCGAACCCCGGGCCGCCAAGAAGCGGAATGTGCGCACTTAACTGCTGCACCACCGGGCTGGCCCCCGTATTAGTTTTTTCTTAGATACACAGTTTATCTCCCTGTAGGCTACTGGCAACTTGAAGGCAGGACTCATGTTGTAATCACCTTTTTACCTCGCAGAGCACACAACAAGGTGTTTTAGACAAAGTGAGGTCTCAATTTACATTTGTTAAATGAACAGATGAATCAATAAAATGAACTTTGTCTCCGAGTGAACAGCACACTATGGGAAGAAGCCAGCTTTCCTTCCCGAGAAGAAGAGAACAAACCACTGCCGGAGACGTTGCAACAGTAGAGGTGTTAGATCAAGAAGAGGTAGAGAAAGAGATGGCACTGGGCGAGGGCATGAGCCAGGGAGAACCAGAACCAAGCACAAGAAACAAAGTGTGTGGAAACACCTTGCTCACCCCAGGGCTCCATTTAGCCAAGAATGTCATGAGTGTCTGGGTCAGCTACTTAATTACTGTCTCTGAATCGGCTATCAGTTACTGAGTGCTTAGTACATGCCAGGCGCTGTGCTAAGAATGTTACATGCATCACCGCATTTAGTCCACAAAGTAACTCAGTGAGTTAGATATTATTCCTCCCATTTTACAGATGAGAAAATTGGAGTACAGAAAGATGAGTACCTTGCTCAAAGTCACACAGATACTAAGTGTCAGATCCTGAATTTAAACTGAGATCTTAGCCAGTGTGCCAAAAGTACAAAAAAAAGAAAAAGAAGGAGAAAGGGAAGATAAATAGGGTGAATGGTGAGAGACAGATGGAAAAGGATAGAGAACACCGGACAACTCATTTGCTTAATTTGTGAACTCTAAGAACCATTAGGAGGTGAAGTCAAGAGTCCAGGAGAAAGAAAGATGATGGGGAAACTGTACAGCTTCTGTAAGGGTAAGAGGAGAATGGGGGAGATCCATTCAGGGGAAGATTGGTGGTGAAGGATCATAAAGGTGCCCAGTAATAAGTAAGACCTTTCTTACTGCTTCAAATGGAATGATTCCAAGAGGAAATCCAAATTTCAGAAACTAGAGAGTATGATGTGAACTTTATACTAACAATAACAACAAAAAGAATATTTCCTAGAGTCCCAGCTGGCACCATGCCAGGACCACTCTAAGGAACCAAGCTAAAGACTCTTCAAGGCCCTTCAGGACAAAGCAATATATGGGAAGTATAACCAGTCCCAATAAAAGTTTCAGCAAAGTTTGGGGAATGAACTGAAATGTAAAAAAAAAGGAAGACTCTGGCAAGGGGAGGATGTAATTACCTATATGTCAGATGCTTTTGATAAGGGACAGGAAGAGGCTGGTACACACAGAAAGAAGTCAAAGACATGTTGTAGACATGGCTAGGAATCACCAGGTATACACACTCTCCCATATCAAATTAGCAAAGATAAAAAAGAACGCTAATTACTGAGAAACAGGAACTCCTATCCACCATTGATGGGGATGCAATTGAATAATTTTTCTGGAGAGTGATTAGGCAGTGTATATTAAAAGCCCTAAAAATATCCAAATGGAATCAGTTAAAGTATTAAAAGAATAAGGAACCACTGACCAAGAGGAATTTTTCTAGGAACACAAGAATGATTTTACCCTTGGAAAACTAGTGATTTTATTCAATGCAATAATAAGCTAAAGGAGAAAAAAAATCACATCATCAGCAACAAATGCTGAAAAGGCATTTGATAAAATTCAATAATTTCTGCTTTTACAAAAGAACAGTCCACTTTTACTGAATGCTTACCACATACCACAGACTGAGATAAAAGTGCCAATTTTATGGATAAGAAAACTGAGGCTATTAAGTGGCAACTCTTCTAGAGCCTAAACACTTAAAAGCCCTATTTTATACTGTTTCTTTCTTTCTTTCTTTCTTTCTTTTTTGCTAAGGAAGATTTGCCCCGAGCTAACAGCTGTTGCCAATCCTCCTCTTCTTCTTTTTTTTTTGCTTGAAGAAGATTAGCCCTGAACTAACATCTGTGCCAATCTTCCTCTATCTTGTCTATGGGACACCACCACAGCATGGCTAGTGAGTGGAGTAGGCCCCTGCCTGGGGTCCGAACCTGCAAACCGATGCTGCTGAAACAGAGCACATGGAACTTTAACCACTTGGCCGTGGAGCAAGGCCCTGTTTCTTTTGTTAGATGCATAATCTACATAAAAAGCTCCTATAAATTAATTTTTTTTTAAGTCCAAAAGAAAAATGGGCCTAAGAGATAAATAGGCAATTCACAGAAGAAAATACAAATGGCAAGCACACATACCAAAGGAAGCACAGGCTCACTAATAATCCAAGAAACTCAAATTGAAACAACAAGATATGGTTGACTTATCAGACTGGCAAAAATTAAAAAGGGATGTATGAGATGGGGCTGGCCCTGTGGCCAAGTGGTTTAAGTTCTGTGTGCTCCAGTTTGGCGGCCCGGGTTCATGGGTTGGGATCTTGGGTGTGGACCAACTCCACTCATCAGCCATGCTGTGGAGGCATCGCACATACAAAGTGGAGGAAGACTGGCACAGATGTTAGCTCAGGGCTAATCTTCTTCACCAAAAAAAAAAAAAAAAAAAAGGATGTATGGGAAAGCCTGTCTGTCCACATCTTCACAAGCACTGTATATTTTATGATTAGTTTCTGCAGTGAAACAAATAATGCTTTTGTGCAATGAAAAGGCAACTGAACACTGAAAGGTCATATACCTATGTGAATTTCCAAAAGTATTTTTGGGGTCTCCCCACTCGCTACTCTCTCATAAACAACAACCATAGGATGGGGGCAAGCCAAGGATTGGGGAGGAAAAATAGTGCCCTGCCCCATGCTTTCCTGTGCCCTGAACATCCTTTATGTGTGTGTTGGGGGGTGGGGGGGGGGGGCCAGATTTCAAAGCACTCATCTTTTCTCTGTTTTATGAGATAAGAGATGAGAAACTCTGATTTTAAGACAATGGCCAATTATTGATAAATCCAAGCCTCAGGCTCTTTTTGTGATTTACTATCAGTGTTAAAATCACAAGACCAAGTTTGTGATCTCAGAGAACCACAAACTTAGAATCTTCAAAAATATAAATGTCATATATTACTTGGGTTTAGGTAAAGTAAAATTTTAATTTTCTACTCAGTACTTTGAAAGGTGTATAATTTTCAATATTCTAAACCTTTGGTTAGATTACCATGAAACTACTAATCACATTCCATTCAACTCGGAGACATTCAAGTGACCATAGCCAGTTTCTAATATCTCCCTAGTCAACCAAAAAAATAAAATTACGTATATATTATGTACAATCTTTTACCTCAAGGAAGTTCAACCGGGCTAGAAAGTCTGTGATGTAACTTCCTAGGGGTTTAAGACTTGGGTAGGATCGTTTGGCCCATATTTCCGGAACCTTTCCAACAAGCAGACTGCCTGCGAGTGCCTCCAACGCAGAGTCCATGACGACCACGCCCTTAATAGCTTTTTCAAGGTCCAATAGAGTGTTATATATAGTTCTAATTAAACTGCAAGTAAAGAAATTATGTCATCAACATATATATGGTAGGAAATATCAACATCCAGTCTTTCCAGAAGAAGAAATAGCAGGATACCATGCACAGCTTTGTGGGAGTGTTTCCCAAAGTGTGGTCACCTCCCACTTAGTAACGTAAGGTCATTTTAGATGATACTTAGATGAACATTTTTCATTTTCGTCATTACACTCATATTTTAAAATACAGAAAATAATACAACTAGCATATCAAAATTGTTGCCTTCTGGGTATTATTGCTTAGGACCAGGCTAATTTAAGAAGAGAACGATTTAAGGAAAATATCAGGAAATAATGTTAAAGGTGACATGCAAATATGGAAAAAGTTATAAAGGTGTTATGCACTGGCTGGAACTTGGGAAACGCTGCATTAAAACATAAAGCGAATATGTCATTTATGTACTTGCAAGTACTTTGCTTCCCACTGAGGCCCAGACTGGTAAGAACACCATAAAGACACCTGAAGTGAGGGCTCTAGGCCAGAAGCCTAAGCAACCAGGAGATAATATGTTACTATATATAAAAATATATGGTCTTTGTATAAGAAATACTGAATTAGTTAAGGCGTAATAGTGTTTTGATATGTTTTGTTTTAAAATGTCAGCAAGTCTGGAAACCCAAATAAACTTGGAAACACTTTAGAAAATTCATAACCAAAACAATTCTCCATTTGTTAAGCCAGTATTGAATTGTAGAAAATTCAATTAAAAAAAGTCAAAGCATCGTGGGGTTTGAATTTGTTTGCTATCATGGGGTACTTAATTAACCTAGATTGGACTCAAGAAGAAAAGGGAGGTGTATATAGGTCAAGTGGCAGAAAAACAACGAAAAGCGTGACTACACATAGGCCTAATTAATCTCATTCTGTCTTTAGTTCCTGAGGAGAATAGTGATAGATGGGTGAGAAATTAAGCTGAATGAATATTTTTAACCAGTGAAAGCAGATCTCCTTTTCATTATCATTTTTACAGTATAAAAGATACCCTCACTTCTGGAGCAGAAGGTTACACAACTTTTAAAAAAAGGGGGAAAATTCTAATGAAATGGGAGGTTTTGATCATTTTTTCTTAAAATTTTAATTCAATACTAGTATCTTTTTTATCAACTTTGGTTGGTTGCCCTCTGAATCACTGGGGATACAGATCCTTACCTGTTAAATCTTTCCATTTCTTGTACTAAAACAGTATTCATGCTCTCTTCGTATCTCACAGGATACTTCAATAGTGCTATTTCAATGTCAAAATCATTTGGTAGCTAAGAAAATAGATTTTAAACAACTCATATTACTTTCAGAATGGATCATTGGTTTCATTCGGCTATAATATCACTAATAGCTAACACTAGGCAGTTACTATGTCCTGGGCATTGTGCTAACTGCTTCCCATACATTATCTCATTTAATCCTGACCATACACTCTTAAGTGACCATTATCTCCATTTTACAGGTTAGGACATTTAAGAAAAGAGAGGTTAAATAACTGCCCAAAGACACACAGCCAGAAAGTGATCTGTTTAAATCCACTCTCTAGCTGTTTACATAGTGATCTGTTTAAGTCCAGGTATCTACCTCCAAGGCCCATGCTCTCCACCACAGGATATAGTGTTTTGCAGATGATAGACATTTTTGAAAAGTTTTGTAATTTCTTTTTATAAATTGAATCTTATTTTCCATTGATAAAACCGAGTGCCCATTTCATAACTGTTTTACATTTACTTCCAATCAGTTACCAATTGGCTCCAAATAGCTTACTTACCCTGCTGTCAAATAATTAATGTGTGAATGTAGCAAGGTTCCAGGACATAGGGAAAGAGAAGGCCATCAAGTGTCTGATTTCTATGAGGCGTCTCTGAGATGCTGGGGAAGCGATGAAGGGGACTTGGGACTGATGATCAAGCCCCAAGACATTGGAATTCACACTGCTCAAAGGGGCAAAGAAGTTTCCCAATTAGGGAGGTCCCAAACTAAGAATGTTGAACTGCCCAGAGTGTCCCAGGTGATGGCCCCTGGATGGTGCAAAAGAAGTCTTCTAAGGCACAGCAGATGGTGTCACTCAAGGACCCTTTGGCTTAGCACAACCCTCCTACCCCAGATAAGTCCCAAATGCCACTGCCAGGTAACTTTCTGTTAAGGATCTTGTAAGAGCCACCATTCTGCGAGGGTGAGAAACTTTCCCCACAGAGATAAACCACAGAAACAGTAAGGGGCCGGGGTGAGAGAGGCAAACAGCAGGAGCAGCAGTCTAGGGGTAGAAGTGGGAGGAGCCTAGTTTGCTTTCACCCGGGGTCGCAGGCCGTGCTGCTCCCCTCTGGCCGTGGCCAGGCGTGTGGTGAGTAGGCTCTTCCTAAGGAGTGGTGTAAGGTAAGGCCACCAACTGTGAGAGCAGAGGAGAGGCACTGTCCCTGGGCTTTCAAGGCAGTTGGACTATGGGTCAGGTTCTGCTCTGTCAGAGTGCCTGACATTGAAATATGGGGATAGTTATAGTATTTAGGAATTTAGGAATTGGGAAGATATTGGGACCATAATCTTTTTAAAAGTCCCCTTAGTAGTTCTTTATTGAATTTATGACACAGAAAAAGAGGTGAGAATAGAGAGTATCATTCCTCTTTACCTAGTAGGACTAAGTACATTGGGCTGTATTATGAAAAAAAAAAAAAAAGCTGTAGCAGCTAATTTAGTGCTGATCTTATCTCCCCATGCCTCCTTCTTCCTAAGGTATAGATTAAAAGCCACTCACTCCTTGAATCAGCAAGTTCACACCATTTCTTCCATTTTTATTTCTTTCTTTATTTTTGAGGAAGATTGGCCCTAAGCTAACATCCGTGCCCACCTTCCTCTATTTTTTTATATGTGGGATGCCTGCCACAGCATGGCTTGATAAGTGGTGCTAGGTCTGCGCCTGGGATCTGAGCCAACAAACCCAGGGCTGCCAAAGCAGAGTGCATGAACTTAACTGCTGTGCCACCGGGCCAGCCCCCCCTCCATTTTTAAAAAGTAGGTCCATTATCTTTGTTTAGAACTGATAGTAAGTCATATGTTCATTAGCTCATCCACAGCTATAGTTACTAAGTGCCAGGCATTTTGCAAAGCACTTTAAAGTCATGATCTCTTTAATGTTCACAAGAACCTTAAACAGCTGGTACTATTTTCATCGCTTTACAGATTTGAAAACTAATGCTCAGAGAGGCAAAAATGTCTTACTCAAGGTCATAATGCTGCCAAATGGAGCTTTCAGATTGCCATTTCAGTGCCACTTTGATTTGTTTTATATTATAAGCAACATATTTTAAGCTAAACATTTACCTTGTTGAGAATATCTCCGGTAATTTCTAATAGAATCTGGTCAGCACTTCCTGAGGATCCTGTCTGTTTGGAGCCTCCCTGGGTGAGCAGCAAGGACTCAAAGAGGATTTTCGTTTGTTGAAGATCTTTGGAGATATCAACATTTTCATGTAATCCAAATATCTCAGGGTGTTGAGTAAATGGAAGTTTCTGCCAGAAAACAGATTCAGCAAGCATCACGTTTTCACTGGATAGATCAATTCATAAGGTAGACACAGGCAGACCAAAAAGGTTAAAAATCAACTAAACATCAAACAACGGAGGAATCAAACTTTTCCAATTTTCAGTAATTACTAGAAACAAAAGATATTGGAAGTTGATTGAAACCATAATACTTGTCTGACCCTATATCTTAATGTCCCTATTTCAATTTGCTTTTTAGAAAAATCACACTTAAATCTAAGTCTATTTTTGGTGACATTAGTTACCTTAATGAATTCAATGTACTCATCATAGGTGCCTTTGGGAGGTGCAAAATAGTTTCCACTAGGAGAAAACTTATAATGAGGGCTTTCAATTACGTGTGAATTATAAAAGTCAGCCAGCATGGTTAAGAGGAGACGTCTGTCCCAATCATCTGTCACTCTTCCTCCATAGTTACACTCCCCAGTCAGGTAAGAGATGGCTTCAAATGGAACTGTATCATATTCATTTATAAATAACTGAAACAAAGGAAAAATGAAATAATGGAAAAACCTTAAAGTCTTTCACTTCATTTCCATTTTAAAATGGGATTAAATATCTATCTATTTATCCATCCATCTATCTATCTATCAATCATCTATCTATGTGTGTAGACACATAGAAGTGGGGTTGAAGGAATTATCATCATAGTTGTCTTTGGGTGACCTTTATGGGGCTTCATGTCATAAAGGCCCTCATCACTGAAAAGAAGCAGAAAAATACTAATATTCTGTGGTTGTCTAGTTGGATTAATATATTTGGTAAAATATGACAGAAATAATCGAAAAGTATTGGAGTTGGACAGACCTGAGTTCAAATCCTACCTCAATGGGCAAGTTGAGTTCTTAGCTTTGGTTTTTCTCCAAAATAGGGATAATACCAACCTTACAGGGCTGCTATGAGGATTAGAATTAATATAAGTAATGTGCCTAGTTCAAAGTGTGAGTTGGTAGAGTTTGCTGTGGATATTTATCCTTTTTATTTTTATTTTTTGGAGGGGAGCTGCTGACCGAGTGAAAGTCTCACATTGTGAGTCTAGAAAACCTGAAAAAGCTGGCCACTCACTTTCCCAGCATCTCTTACAGTAAAGCCTAGGCCCATGACCTGGGCTTGGTTACTCAGGTGCATCCCGCCCAGACTGAACTGGGGTTTAGTGTGCGAAGAAGCAGGGACAGTAAAGAGTCTATTGTGATGACATCAGAGTGCCTGCAGTAGACCAGAGTCTGTGTGGCAGCCATGTGAGCTGTGGTGTCTAATGCTCAACAAGGGTAGAGGGGCTGCTCGTACCAGACATGCTATGACTCTGGATATGACTCTGGATGCCTGGGCTCTCCAGCCGTCTTGGTGAGTCTGTGACCTACCCAATATTCTTTCAATAAATTCCTCTTCTACAGTCTGTTTCTGTTGACTGATAGAGCTAAAGTGTAAATTTGAGTGGAGGAGAAGAGTGGAGGTTAATGAGGACCTATGTAAAGCCAACACTATGGAGGGCTCTGCAAGAAGCAGAAAGAACCAGGGTCCTTAATGACACTTTTGCTGAATCAACCAACTCCAGCACCTGTCCTTTCTCTGCACTTCTTTTTATGTGAGATAAGTTTCATTATGGTTTAATCCAGTTTGAATCAGGGTTTCCATTATTTGTAGCAGAAAAAATCCAGAGGGAGATAGTGCTTCATGGATCATAATTATTATTACTATCTACCCACTTATTTATTTAGTGGTGTTGGGGGAATTGAATAAGTTATTCCAAGCAAAGAGAATTGCCTAGGGCTTGATACATAGCGATCCTTCACCAATGCTAGTTCCTTTCTAATTTTACCTGTAGTTGTCGAATACTGATGCGTAAGTCTGATTCATTAAATCCATATGGAATATTCCAACCAAGAGGACCAAATTTCTTCCTCTCTTGCACAAGGGCATGAAAAAAACAAACTCCAAACAGCAACTTCTCCCATGCCTTTAGAATAAAAGTTATACAAGAAAAAATTCTGATCATATTTCCATCAATAAAATGAAACGAATCAATGACCTTTTTCATATAAGATTCTATGATCATATATCTCTACAAACTTCTATTTTAAAAAGACATGCTATCTAAAATAATGCTTACTATAAAAAGAATTAATCTTATGACTTAATCAAAACCTCCAAAGCTAGACAAACTGCAATTATGTTACACTTTATTAAAATGCAATAATGCCACCATTTACCAAAATATGGGCTAACAATACTTGGGTATTGTTCATAGATATTTACAACTTCAATACTTTAACGTTATCCTGTAGACTCACCAGCATATGCTTGAGACTACAACTGCAGGAGAATAATTAATCATTATAATAAGAATAAATCCCAATATATAGTTCCTGATTTTGTGACTTTCCATTTGGAGATCATTTTTGAAACCCTTGTTTATTTACTCTGTTCTGACATCTTTACATGTGTGATATGTATGTCACGTGGGCCTCTCACTAAGCTTGGAGTGATGCCCTGGAGGATGGCCATCCATCTCATTGAGATCCCCTCATGTAAATTTCAAGGATGCTACCTTGATGGTTTAAGTTAGACTATCTCAGACATAGCTCCAAATGCAGAAAAAAATCCATCCAGCTATTTTCATGTGATGCAGTAGTAGAAATTTTTTCTATAATATTAAAATGCAAGTACACCATGGCTTTACTGAATAGCTATATTCTTTAAATGTTGTACATAAATCAAAGCATATTTTAAATATACTGGATGAATGCTGTTGTGAAACATTTAATAGGGGAAAAACTTTTTGGCAATGAGAGTAATAACATAATTTACATATATTTTCACATAATTGGGTTTCCTTAAGGAAGTGATAATCCTTCCACATTTTTGGTCTATGCTTGTGGGCCAAGAAGGCCCCTGTGGCATCAGAGAAATCTTGGAGACAGAAAGCAGAAACATGCATAGTTGGGGTGAGATGCTCTCAGCTGAAGATTAATCTGAACTCACAAAGAACTGCCTTCTACAGCTGTGGCTGAAATTAAATATGAGCTGAGGAGATGTGACAAGGGACATCAGAAGAATTTGCCACAGTCCTGTTATTTAGACTTTTTAAAAAAGAAACAAACTATATATTCTAAAAAACTCAAATATTAAGAAATATTTTCTTAAAAAACAAACAAAAATGTCTTTTCTGAAGGCAGGTGTTTGTTTGTTTTCCAGTAAGCGTTTCTTCCAACTAATTTCTGAATTATGTTTTCCAGGGTACATTTTGTGACTAAGCCAAGGGGGCAGCAGGATGCTGCCTTCTCTACCTAAAGATGATACCATGGACCCAGCATCAATGGGGTATGCCTTTTGGTTTGTTTTCTATGATGTGGTGCTGGATTGTGCTAACTCATCCAAACTCCTTAGCAAGGCATATGAAGATTTTCAGTTTACACAGTCTTGCCCCAATATTCCTTCCCACTGTTATGTCTTACTAATTTAGCCAAAATGAGTTACTCATTGCTCTTTCAACAGGTTTGTCATAATCCTGTGCCTTTACACATACGTCTTGGGCCTACTTCAAATGTCAGTTCCTCAGTGAAGGTTTTTTCAACGTAACCAAGAGTTAGTCACACACAAGTGGGAAGAAACAGAATGAACTGGGTACCCAAATCCCACCTCTAACACTTAAAAGCTGTATGACCTTGATCATTTACTCGATTTACCTGAACCTCAGTTTCCTTATTTAAAAAACAAAGTTGTGATAATAACATCTATACTACAGGGTTGTTGTAAGATTCATGTATTTAAACTACCTGGAACCTGCAATGCTCAATAAATGCCTTTTCCCTTCCTTCCTTCCTTTCTTTGTCCTCTCATAGTTCATCATAGTATCAAGGCAGCGGTTCTCAACCTACTTAACATTTGAATTTCTTTTGTTACTTGTTTGCTTGGGTTTTTGTTGTTGATGTTTTAGAAATAAAATGTGGAAACTTTAAGCAACGTAAGCAAAAGAAAAGGCATGTAAATAATAATATTAGCACTAATGAGAATTAATGCCTGGCACTGAGCTATAAGTTTTCTATGCATTTCACATTTAATCTCCACAAAAACTCCATGAGGTAAATATTTTACTCTTATTTTACAGAAGAGGAAATTGAGACTCAGAGAGTTTGTGGCTACCACAGAAGTTGGTCAGGATTTGAACTCAGGTCACCTAATCATGGTGCATGTGAACGCACTGAAACATATTCCCAAGCACACCGCCAAGCCCATAGGCACAAGCAGTAACAGGCCTTCCTTGAGGCGTTGAAGGATGAGGTGGTTTGTTTGGGGCAAAAGGGTGGTTATGACCTATAAAGAGATGTTTAGGGGTGGAGAGGAAAAATATTATCCTTGAAAATATGGTGATTTATAGAAATTAATTTTTTATATACACCTTAGTTGTTGTTGTTTTTTTTTGTAAAAATAGACAGTATGGTGTATAGAAAGCACAGAATGAGGTTCAGAGCTTTAGTGTGACCTCGAGTGAATTCTTTACTTTTTTTAATTGTCCTAATTCTAAGGTTATTAATATTTCTATTTTATTTTGTAGTGCATGTGTTTTCTTTCTTTCTCTCTCTCTCCCTCCTGCCCTCTTTTTATTTCTTTATGTTTTTAGAGACCAAAAAGGGAAAAATATACCAATGGAAAATTACTACTATGATCTAGTATACCAAGTCTTTATAATTAACAATTCACTAGAAAAGGTAAGTTCAGATGAATAGATAAGTTTAGTATTTTTTTCTTTTGTTTACTTAACTAACATTTAACCATAAAATATGTCTTCTTTTCTGCTACTATGTTTCCTCTTATGTTTCCTTATCTTTTTTTAATTCCTTCTTACTTTCGCCCTCATTGATAAACAATTAGTGCTTGGCATCAGATTTGTGTGTATGTATATGTGTGTTTGCACCTTTTTAGTCACTTAGCTTCTCTCTACTTGATCTTCCCTGCATATCTAAAGATTGGCATTAACAATATTTAATTCTATTAGATTACCACAAATATTCATTTTTGTGGACTTTACACACAGTGGCTTTTGGATCAGAGCATTATATATTTTTGCCAGTTTTGCTAAGATATTCCTTTTTTTTTCCATCTTTTTGACCCCCTTCACTCATTTCTCATCAGACACCATACCATCTTCTCCATTCTACTAAGCTCTCTTTCTAGCTAAAACCACCAAATATCCCCCTTTTCTCCCCGAGTTACAAACAAAATTATTCCTCAGAACTAGGGGCACACAGAAAGTGTCAGTAAGCAGGGAGAAACTAGCTGGCTTCCAAAGAATTCAATCCTTTATCTTCAATATTATTCTTTTTCTGGCACAAATAGACAATTATGATAAATAGCATGTGTTGGGGGTGAGGGAGGAGATGATTTCCCTTGGTACTGAGGTTTCCTTCCATGTGGGGAGACCTTAATGTAGCATCCTGGATTCTCTATATCCTTGTACTCACTGCAGGAGAGGAGACTAACCTATCCGATTGGTAAATTTGGGAAAAGTTAACCAGATATGCTTTGCTCAGCTTCTCCCTTTTCTCTCTTAGAAGTGAGCATCCTCAGGGAAGGAAGTATTCTTCTATTCCTCTGGGTGGATAAATCTAATTAATTCTGGGTTTAGTAATATGAAGCCCATTTGTTCACAGATATAAACTACATCTTTCAACCTGGTCTCCATCAGCAATTAAGGTTATAATTTGGTTCCCATATGTTTATACTTTTTTCTGTTTCTTAACTGGTAAGAATTCAGGCAGAGAAAAGGAGGGCTATTTATTGGGACCAGTGCCCCCAATACCATGTGCAAAACTGTTTTACATGGATACATGGAAAAGCATTATTAATATGTCAAAACATTATTACTACATTTAAGTTCCATGAAGGTAGATTTTTTTTTGGAGGGGATCTCTTTTATTCTCACTGCTTAATATCTAGTACGTAGAAGAACGCCTAACACACATTTGTTGAAAGAATGAATAAATGATGTGAAAATAGATTGCTACTCTTGGGTCTTAATCAAACATGCTATTGGACTTCGGTTCATTCCACAAATTTCTTTTTGAGTGTCTACTACATGGGAAGCAGACACAAACTACTGGGAAAAAATAATGAACAAGATGGTACAATTTCTGTCTTCTTAGGAAACGCCTAAAGTTTAACATTACTAAGTAAAATATTTATATTTCCATATTTTCTCACTAGAAAAACATATTTTAAAAGTTCCAGAGGCTGAATATTACCAGTTCCTTTCCCTGGCATCCATTGAAAAACTGAGGATCAGAAACTGGATCAGTGAGATATGATTGGAGGAGATTTAGCCGAAGACCCGTGGGAGGTTCATTAGTCATTTTTACTCCATTCTGTAGAATTGTTACTGGGAACTAAGACAGAATAAACAAAGAGCATTACTCAAGATAACCAGCTTGAGTCCTAAAAATGCATAAACTACTGGGTTAAAAATAGGTATAAAAGAGGACTCCAGAAATATTTTTAAAGCCTCTTAAAATTAAGTATTTCAAGCTTGACTAGGATATACAATGTAACAGATAACTCAATAAATGTACTGAACTCTATAGGAAATAAACATACTTTTGGAGATGGATAACTTGTGAGCCAAAGCCTAAAAGATGAGTTACAGACTTCAGGGGTAAAATCTTCACATATTTTTTCCAATACAGGCATCCAGGAGACAGCAAGGTGACAATTCTGTAGGCAAACCCAAGTTCCTTCTTCTATTGCTGCTTTAATCATTTTTGTGGCAACTGGTCCTTGTCCCTGTCCCAGTGAAATAGCTTGAAATTTATTTCCAGACATAGCTTTATCATTTGCAAATTTTAGCAGGCCTAAGAGGGCACAAAAAAATGGTTTCACTGCTTACTCTAAAATTATAAAACATGCCTCATGTTTCAGGTTTATAGGTTTTTAGTTGTGGAAAATTCGAGTTACCTTTCCTTATAAATACTGGATTTACTAACTGATGTACAATCATATGGACAAAAAATGGACATTGAGAAAGATGATTTATTTTTAATTTCTTAAAAGTTTACAGTATATGCACTTACTGGCCATGGGATCTGCTCCGGGAGATAGCACAAAAATTAAGGGAATGGTGCAATTTGAATCCAAGTAACTCTTTGTCAAATCAAATGGTGGAGGCTCTACAAACTTTTTCCCTAGTTTGTCAGTTACATAATTTGTTATAGCTGGAGTTATCTGTTGAAGAGAGAATAGACATGATCTTTAGAGTAATTTTTATTTTACAGAATGACTTTGATTATTACTGAAAAACAACAAAGAGTAAAATATGAGTCTAATGGCCAAGAAGAGCATGCAGCATATCATAGATAAAGCACTAATTTCCCCAATACATAAAAAGTGTCTATAAAATGACAGAACAAGACTAACAACCCAAAAGAAAAATGGGAAAGGAGATGAACAATTTCTAAAACATGAAATAGAAGTGGATCTTAAACACATGAAAAGATGCTCAACCTCATTCAATATAGCAGAGATTGCAAACTGTCCCCCTTCTTTGTCTCCTTTTGGTAACAGAATCCCAAGTTTTCCAAACCTTTCTTGCAACTAGATGTGGCCATGCAACTAAGTTTTGGCCAGAGAGATACAAGTAGAAATTATATATGGAGCAGAGTCACAAAACATTAAAAAAGAGGGAAATGAGAAACACATCACAGAAAACCACCAAACTGAAATGGTATACAGAAATACAAGGACAAAGAAACAATGGAAATATAGAACTGGAAAACAAAAGATAACATGGCAATATTAAGCTTCATATATCAATAATCATTCTAAATGTAAGTGGATTGAATTCTCCAATCAAAAGACACAGAGCAGGTGGATGGATTAAAAAAGAAGACCCAATCTTATCTCTAAAGACAAACATAGGCCCAGAGTAAGGGATGGGAGATGATACTCCAAGCAAATGGCAACCAAAAGAAAGTGGGTATAGCCCTACTCATATCAGACAAAACATACTTTAAGCCAAGAAAGATAACAAGAGACAAAGATAGATATTATATAATGATAAAAGGGACATACCACTAAGAAGACAACATTTATTAACATATATGCACTAAACATAGGAGCACCAAAGTATATAAAGTAACTATTAACAGACCTAAAGAGAGAAACTGACAGCAACACAATAATAGCGGGGGACTAAACACCCCACTTACATCAATGGATAGATCATTCAGACATAAAATCAACAAGGAAACAGTGGCCTTAAATGAAACTCTAGACCAGATGGACTTAACAGATATATGTAGAACATTCCATCCAAAGGCAGCAGAATACACATTGTTCTCAAATGCACATGGAACATTCTCAAAGACAGACCATATGTTGAGAAACAAAACAAGTCTCAACAAATTTAAGAAGTTGAAATCATATCAAGCATCTTTTCTGACCACAATGGTATGAAAGTAGAAGTCAACTACAAGAAGAAAGCTGGAAAAGTCACAAATATATGGAGACTAAACAACATGCTACTGAACAACTGGTGGATCAATGAAGAAATCAAAAAATACCTGGAGACAAATGAAAATGAAAACACAACATACCAAAACATAGGATGCTGCAAAAGTGGTATTAAGAGGGAAGTATATAGAAATACAGGTCTACCTTAAGAAACAAGAAAAATCTCAAATAAACAATCTAATACTACATCTAAAAGAACTAGAAAAAACAAGAACAAAAGAAGTCTAAAGTCAGTAGAAGGAAGGAAATAAAAGAGCAGAAGTAAATGAAGTAGAGACAAAAGAGACAATAGAAAGGCTCGATGAAACTAAGGGCTGGTTCTTTGAAAAGATAAACAAAACTGACAAACCCTTAGCTAGACTTACTAAGAAAAAAAGAGAGAAGGCTCAAATAAATCAGAAATTAAAGAGGATAAATTACAACGGATACCACAGAAATACAAAGAATTATAACAGAATACAATGAAAAACTATATGCCAACAAATTGGATAACCTAGAAGAAATGGATAAATTCTTTCTTAGAATCATACAACCTCCTGAAACTGAATCAAAAATAAACAGAGAATCTGAATAGACCAATCACAAGTAAAAGAGGTTGAAACAGTAATCAAAAACCTCCCAAAAAACAAAAATCCAGGACCAGACACCATTTCTGATGAATTCTACCCCAAACACTCAAAGAAGATTTTAATACCTATCCTTCTCAAACTTTTCCTAACTCATTTTATGAGACCAACATTACCCTGATACCAAAACCAGATAAGGCCAAGACGAAAAAAGAAAATTACAGGCCAATATCACTGATGAACATAGATGTAAAAATCCTCAACAAAATATTAGCAAATCAAGGACAATACATTAAAAGGATCATACACCAAGTGGGATTTATTCTAGGGATGCAGGGATGATTTGACATCTATAAATCAATCAATGTGATACACCACATTAACAAAATGAAGAATAAAGATCACATGATCATCTCAATAGATACAGAGAAAGCATATGACAGATTCAACATCCATTTATGATAAAAACTCTCAATAAAATGGGTATAAAAGCAAAGTACCTCAACATAATAAAGGCCATATATGACAAACCAATGGCCAACATCATATTCAATGGTGAAAAACTGAAAACTATCTAAAAACAGGAAGAAGACAAGGATGCCCACTCTCATCACTCTTATTCAACATAGTTCTGGAAGTCCTAGCCAGAGCAATTAGGTAAGAAAAAGAAATAAAAGGGATCCAATTGGAAAGGAAGAAGTAAAACCATCACTATTTGTGGATGACATGATTCTAAATATAAAAACCCTAAAAATTCCACCAAAAAACTATTAGAAATAATAAACAAATACAGTAAAGTTGCAGGGTACAAAATCAACATACAAAAATCAGTCACATTTCTACACACTAACAATGAACTAGCAGAAAGAGAAATCAAGAATACAATTCCATTTACAATCACCAAAAAAGAATAAAATGCCTAGGAATAAATTTAACTAAGGAAGTGAAAGACCTATACACTGAAACTGTAAGAAATTATTGAAAGAAATTAAAGAAGACATAAAGAAATGGAAAGATATTCCATGCTCATGGAGTCAAAGAATTACCATAGTTAAAATGTCCATATTACCTAACGTAATCTACAGATTCAACACAATCTCAATCAGAATTCCAACAATATTTTTCACGGACATAGGACAAAGAATCCTAAGATTAATATAGAACAACAAAAGACTCTGAATAGCCAAAGCAATCCTGAGAAAAAAGAACAAAGCTGGAGGCATCAGACTCCCAGATTTCAAAATATACTACAAAGCTATAGTAATCAAAACATCGTGGTACTGGGGCTGGCCTGGAGGCATGGTGGTTAAGTTCGCATGCTCCACTTTGGTGGCCAGGGATTCATTGGTTCAGATCCCAAGTGTGGACCTACACACCACTCACTAAGCCATGCTGTGGTGACATCCCATATACAAAAAGTAGAGGAAGATTGGCACAGCTGTTAGCTCAGGGACAATCTTCCTCACTAAAAAACAACACCCCCCCCCCCCCCCCCCGGCACAAAATCATAATAGTATTCGCAGAAAAACAGACACACAGATCAATGGAACAGAACTGAGAGCCCAGAAATAAACCCACACATCTATGGATAGCCAATTTTTGACTAAGGAACTAAGAACATACAGTGGATAAAGGAAAGTCTCTTCAATAAATGGTGTTGGGAAAACTGGACAGCCACGTGCAAAAGAATGAGAGTGGACCATTATCTTACACCATACACACAAAATTAACTCAAAATGGATTAGAGATTTGAAGGTAAGACCTGAAACCATAAAACTCCTAGAAGAAAACATAGGTAGTACACTCTTTGATACTGGTCTTAGCACTATCTTTTTGAGTATCATGTCTCCTCAAGAAAGGGAAGCAAAGGAAAAAATAAACAAATGAGACTATATCAAACTGAAAAGCTTCTACATGGCAAAGGAAACTATCAACAAAACAAAAAGACAACTCACTATGTGGGAAAAAATATTTGCAAATCATATATCTGATAAGGGGTTAATATCCAAAATATATAAATAACTCATACAACTCAACAACAACAAAATGAACAACCTTATCAAAAATGGCAAAGGATAGGAACAGATATTTTTCCAAAGAAGCTATATAGGTGGCCAAGAAGCACATGAAAAGATGTTCAATATCACTAACTACTAGGGAAATGCAAATCAAAACTACAATGAGATATCACCTCACACCCATCAGAATGGCTATAATTAACAAGGCAAGAAATAACAAGTGTTGGAGAGGATGTGGAGAAAAGGGAACCCTTGTACACTGCTGGTGAGAATGTAAATTGTACAGCCACTATGGAAAACAGTAAGGATATTTCTCAAAAAATTAAAAATAGAACTACCATATGATCCAGCTATTCCACTTCTGGGTATTTATCCAAAAAATGCAAAAACACTAATTTGAAAAGATATATGCACCTCTATGTTCATTGCAACATTATTCATTATATATTCATTATTCATTGTATTTATTATGTATTCACTATTATTCATTATTCATTATAGCCAAGACTTGGAAGCAACCTAAGTGCTCATCAACAGAAGAATGGATAAAGAAGATGTGGTATATATATATATATATATGGAATACTACTCAGCCATAAAAAAAAGATGAAATCGTGTCATTTGCGACAACACGGATGAACCTTGAGAGTATTATGCTAAGCAAAATAAGGCAGATGGAGAAAGACAATTACCATATGACTTCACTCATATATGGAAGATGAGCAAAGAAACAAGCACATGATATGGAGAACAGATTGGTGGTTACCAGAAGAGAAGGGAACAGGGGAGGGCAAAAGGGGTAAAGGGGCACATGTGTATGGTGACAGATGACAATTAGACTTTTGCTAGTAAACACAATGCAGTCTATATGGAAGTCGAAATATGATATACACCTGAAATTTATATAATGTTATAAACCAATGTGACCTCAGTAAAAAAAAGTGGTATACTTGTACAATAGAATACCTTTCAATTGTAAAAAAGAATGAGAAAGCTCTTTATGAACTGATAAGGAAAAAAGCAATATGCAAAACAGTGTATGCTACCATTTGTGTTAAAATAAATGCAAAAAGAATTTGTTTATGTGTGCATAAAAGGATAAAAAGAAGCAGATAATATTAATTGCCTGAAGGGAAGGAGGTTGAATGACTGAGATAGGAGATTGGAGGTATATTTTTCACTGTATTCACATATTCATGTGATTCAAATTAAGTTAAATTTAAAAATAAAAGAATGCTAATTATCAACATTAGTAGCAGAAAATAAGTACAAAGAGATACTGGACATTATCATCTAAATGGCAAACGACTTTCTAACATGAAAACTAGGAATTCAATGAAGAGAGGAGAGATCATCATAGGCTTCTGCAGTCCTGGAAGGTTTGTGGAACAGATGGGAAGGAAGGATGGAGCCTTCTACAGTGTAGTTGTGAGCACCTCCGTAGTTTGAAACAGGGGAAGTTTTAGGAAAAAGATAAGAACAGAACAGCAAGAAAGAGGTATGCTTAGCCAAGGTAACAAGAATGCCAAGCTGTACTTTTGTCATTATTCTATAGATATTGAAAGACCACTGGGGGTTTTTCAATAAGGAGCTCACAATGATATAGCATCTTTTTTTTCTTTCTTTAATAACGTCACATGAGCAATGATGAAATCTTTTTCATCCTTTCACCATTAACACCATGTATAATTTCTACCTAGCAGAGTAGATCTTCAGTATACATTTTAAGGAAAGGGAGGTGCTGAGGACAGAGAACTTGCTTCCCATTACTCTACACTCTGGCTAGGGCCAAAGCTCCCTGAGATGATATAACTGTAATCAAGTATGACAGTTTTCCAGAAAAAGTACTTTGTTCTAGTAATTTAGTATGAGAAAAAGTCATAAGACTTTTCTGTAAGATTTTTAACCTTCATGTAACATACTTCAGAGAAGATATTATGGAGACTTGAGCAGACCTGGAAATGGGCTTTGCGATGGTTAATTTCATGTGTCACCTTTGCTAGGGCACAAGACCCAGATATTTGGTCAAATACTAGTCTAGATGTTGCTGTGAAGATATTTTTAAGACGAGGTTAAAATGTAAATCAGTAGACTTCGAGCAAAGCAGATTACCTTCCATACTGTGAGTGGGCCTCATCCAATCAGTTGAAGGCTTTAAAAGAAAAAAGACTGACTCCCACTGAGGAAGAGGGAACTATGCCAGCAGACTGCCTTGGACTTGAGGTGCAACATCAATTCTTCCCTGGGTCTCCAGCCTGCAGATTTTGGACTTGCAACCCTCCACAATCACATGAACCAATTCCTTAAAATCTCTATCTCTGTCTCTACCTATCCTATTAGTTTTGTTTCTCTGGAGAATCCTGACTAATACAGGCTTTAATTGAATTTAGTTTAATTCAGTTCAGTTCAACTCAATTCACAGACATTTACTGAGCTCCTACCGTCTGCCAGGTACTGCTTTAAGTCGCAGAGATATAGAGCAAAATAAGATGTAGGTTCTGACCTCAAGAAGCTCACAGCCTAGCAGGAGACCCTCACAACTAAACAGACAATTATTCTATATTCCATTGTGGTAAGTGCTGTGGTGTTTAAGCAAAGGCTCCCAAGCACAGCAGACAAAGCAATAGCCCCACACGTGGCATTGAAGCAACATCTTCATTGGTCCATTGTCCATCAGGGAGCAATTCAGTGGAGTGCAAATAGGCAGGTGTTTTCCCGATTCAGAGCTACTCATTCCTTAGTTTACCATGAACAAGGGAGGCTATTGGTGATCAAATAATGAATAAAGCATTGTTTTGGGTTTCAAGGGACTTACTGTCTAGTGATAGGAACATATATATACATACAACTATCAAGTAGGAAAGAATGAGGTAAGTTTCAACAATGTGCAGAGGACTTTGGGAGTTAGAGTAAGGAAAAATACTCAGGAGTCAAGTAATTACGTAGGCCTCTGTGTGAACTTATTCAGAGACTGAATGAAGAATTAGATAATCCTCCTTGTGAAACTTTACTAAAAATATAAAATGTAAAAGAAAGAAAGAGGAAGGAAAGAAGAGAGAAAGAAAGGAAAGAAGAAAGGAAGGAAGGAAGGAAAGAAGGAAGAAAGAAAGAAGGGATCATTGCAATCACTTTTAACATCTTCATTTTATACATAGTGTAACTGGAGCTCTAGTGGTCTAGTGGTTAAGATTCAGTGCTGTCATCCCCATGGCCTGGGTTTGTTTCCTGGTCAGGGAACCAAATGCCTCACTACTTGTCTGTTGGTTGGGGCAGGGCTCAGCTCTGCTGTACACAGAGTTGCCAGGAGTCACAATTAGCTTGACAGCATTAACCAAAAACAAAACAAAACAAAACAATTGGGGCTCAGAACGGTGAAGTGCCATAGGTAAAGTTTAAACTACATGAATGAGCATAGTTTTTCGTTTTCTGTCTGTTTAAAATTTTCCCACTGGTAACTCCATAATCCCCTTTCTTGAATGTGTGACAACTGGTATCAGCCTACTTATTTTACCTATAGAAAGAATTTGTGCATGTTTGAATTAATAAAACTGTGACATGTACAAGATTGTCTACCATCTTCTGCTTCCAGCCAATATGGAATAACAGGGACCTGATTCACCCTCCCATCATAAATTTTAAAATGGGAAAAATTAATGAGACAACTATTTTCAGACATTGGGGCTATTCAGACAATAGGTGGTACAGGACTGTGAGCCCTGAGAAAGAGGAAATGGACAAGTGAGATCTTTTATTTCCCTGGCTTTCTTCAGGGAGGTATATTCCAGACTGTGGAACAGGGAGAGCAATTGAAAGTAGAGCACAAGACGTTGCTGAGTTTGGAAGAAGGGAATCAGAGTTCAAGGAGGCTGAGGCACCTGGGGATTACAGAGTTCAAATTAAAAGGGAACTATGCAGAAAAAGAGCTCAGAAATCTGTATAATAGTACCCTGGAATCTTTGCTGAATACTATGGTGTGCATGCACAGGCCAAGCAAAGAGTAACTTGGGGAGCTGTGAACTGGGGATCTGAGGAGCTACCAGAGTTCATGCAAGGCTGGGAATCATTCAATTTCCCAATAGCCACAGTGGAGAGCCATTGGATCACTTGGGGTGTTCAGTAAAGGCCTCAGAAGGGCCAACTTTAGAGGTGGGGCTAAACTATCCATTGAGTAAAGGCTATTCTACACCTGCCCTAACAAATCTTAAAACAATGTTTGAAAGGAACAACCTGAACTTAAGTATTTAACTATGTAGCCAAAGGGGTTAGAAAACTTTTTCTACAGAGGGCTAGACAATAATTATTTTAGGCTTTGTGGGCCACATACAATTTCTGCTGCCGTATTCTCTTTCTTTTAACCCAACCCTTTAAAAATGTAAAAACCATTCTTAGTGCATGGTCTGGATAAAATCAGGTCATGGGCTGGATTTGGCCCACAGACATTGTTTGCTGACCCCCAAACCAGCAGAACAAAACTCAACACTTTTTAAAGGAAGCTAGCAAAATCCAAATCATCAAAATGTCCAGCATCCAATCAAACATTACTGGGCATGCCAAGAAGCAGGAAAATATAATCTACAACCATGAGTAAAATCAGTCAATAGAAACAGATTCAGCAATGATGAAATTAACAGTCAAGGATTTAAAAACACTTATTATAACTGTCTTCAAGTATTTAAAGGAAAATATAAACAGAATGAAAAGAGAAATAGAATATATTAAAGAGAATCAAATGACTTTTCTACAGATGAAATATATAATAGCTGAAACAAAAATTAATTGCATGGGATTAATAGCAGATTGGACACTACAAAAGAAGGAATCAGCAAACTTAAAGATACCAATAGAAACTATCCAAACTGAAGCACAGAGATACAAAAGATTTAGAAATAATTAACAATATCAGTCACCTATGGTATAATATCAAGCAGTCTAACGTATATTTAATTGGAATCATGGGTGGAGTGGCAAAAAATATTTAAAGAAATAATGGCCAAAATTTTTCCCAAGTTGAGAAAAACTATAAACCTACAAATCTAAGGAGCTCAATGAATGCCTCTGAGCATCTGAAATAAGGGTTAAAGAACCAAATAACAATAGCTTTAAACCTAGTACTTCATAAATGGCAAATTATCCAGGTTCCAAATGGAACATATTTGTCTTTTACCTTATCAGGTCTTAAGCACCGAAGAATTATTATTTTCTGTAGTTCGTTTAGATTGTTATCCATTGGTGCTGGAAATTTAGTATTGTGTGGCTCTTTACTGTCATAGATTTCCCGCCATTCATTTATATATTCACAAAAATGCTCCCTAATGTAAAAAAAAAAAAAAAGCTTTAGTTATGCTTTCATTGGGAAAAAATTTAAGAAGAGATTGTTGAGCAAGAGTCAAGACAGCTAAGGAACCATTTAAAAGTCACTAGATTACAAATTTACCCATCATTATTCAATGCTAAGTCATCAAGTTTAAACAATTACCTGAGTCCTTTGAAGGCAGGAAATTCACTTGCACGACAAATTTCCTCCCAGCTTTTATCCTGTAGCCAAGATGGATCAGGATTTTTCTCAGCACTTTTAAGACTTACTCCTCCAGTTAAAAGAAACATCAGTTCCTGGTATTCAATCTCTTTTCTTGCCCTGTGTTCCCAAAATAAGAACTGCTGTAAATTGTTGATTTAAAAATTGAATGAGGTCAATCTGTGCTTCTATACTTTGGATGAAATAATCAGCACTGACTTACTCTATTGCTTTAAGAACTAGAAAACTGGACAAAATGAATGAAACAATTGTTTTTGGAAAGTATACAATAGCCAGAATAGGACTGTGGTCCCTGAAAAAAAGAGAGACAAATAAGTTGATCCCTGTGATTGTCTCAGCTATCTGCCATCTAACTGTATTCTTACAATGGATTAATTGCATGATATGTCAATTATACCTAATAAAGCTGAAAAAAAGGAATAAAAGAGATCTCTATTGAGTGACTTCCATTTATATTAATTGAAAAGGTATAATTAGACTGGAGGCATTTTCCAGAACACAAAGCAGGGAGGTGATCAAAATCAAAGCTTGGCAGTACTGCTGAGTTGAAGAGACAGAGATCAGAGTTAAGCAAGGCTGAGGTCGCTGGAATTTGTGGGCAGAGTACCAGAGAGGAGGGAGGTGCATGGAAAAGGAGCTCCAGAAATCTACATCCTCTGATTCTATTGCTAAATGCTAAGTCATATATGAGTAGGGTAAAACTCCAGGAGGCCAGGCAAAGAATATTTGAGGAGCTACAAATTGAGTAACTACCAGAGCTCACATAGGACTGGAGATATGAGTTCTTGCCAACTAGAGTTGAATCTTTGTTGAACACCAGAGGAGATCAGTGGTGACACCAGAGGAATCACAGCTTAGCAGTGAAGTTAATCTAACATTAGAATGAAGTTTACTCTAAAAGTGCCACAAGAAAGCCTTGAAAAGATCAAACTGACCCAATAGTAATTTAACTACTTGCAAAAGTAGTCTAATGCTCTTTAAAGGAATACCAAAAAACCCAGTATTTACCAATGTAAAATTCACAACACCATAACCAGGAGAAAAATCAGTCAATACACACAGACATAGAAGTGATAGAGATGATACAACAAGCACATAAGAATGTAAAAAAGAACTATTATAAATATGCTGAAAGAGTTAAAAGCAAAACATGAACATGAAGAGAAAAATAGGGGTCGGCCCCATGGCAAAGTGGTTAAATTTGCGTGCTCCACTTTGGCGGACCAGGGTTTCACTGGTTCAGATCCTGGGCGCAGACATGGCACCACTCATCGGGCCATCCTGAGGTGGCATCCCACATGCCACAACTAGACCACAACTAGAAGGACCTACAACTAAAATATACAACTATGTACTGGAGGGCTTTGGGGAGAAAGAAGAAGAAGATGACAATGACTGGCAACACATGTTAGCTCAGGTGCCAATCTTTGAGAAGAAAAAAATCTTACTTATCATCCTTTCACTTTATTTAAAAAAAAAAGAAGAGAAAAATAGGCAATACAAAAAAATAACCAAATGCAACTTCTAGAGATAAAAAATACAAAATCTGGAAGAAAAATTCACTGATTTCTTTTCAGATGTATAGAAATTGAAAGGACTCATTCATTACCAGCAGATCTACACTATAAGAAAAGTTAAAGGAAGTTTCAGGTAGATGGAAATTTGAATCTGCATAAAAGAATAAAGAGCACCAGAAATGGTAACTGTGTGGGTAAACATAAAAGACTTTTTTCTTATTATTTGAGTCTCTTTAAAAGATAATTGACTATTTAGAGCAAAATGACAATGTGCTATGGGATTTATAACACATGTGCAAGTAAAATGAATGAGAACAATAAAACAAAGGCTAAGAGGGAAGAGATGGAAGCATATTGTTGTAAGTTCTTATACTATATTCATATGAAATAGTATAATTTTACTGAAAATAGACTGTAATAAGTTAAAAGGTACACTATAACTCTAAAAAATTATTAAAATAGTAAAACAAAAATTTATAGCTAATAAATCAAGAAAGGAGATAAAACAGAATCATAAAAACTACTCAATTCAAAGAAAAGCAGAAAATGAGGAAAAGTGGAACAAAACAGATGGGCAAAACAGAAAATAAATTATAAGGTGGTGGATTTAAACATAACTCTATCTATTATCTCACTGAAGCTACATGGTCTAAACAATGCCATTAAAGGTAGTGATTAACAGATTGGATAAAACAAGCAAGATCTAACTACATGCTATCAGCAGAATACAGTTTAAATAGAAAGACACAAATAGGTTAAAAGTATGGAAAAATATATACCATGCTAACACCGTTCAAAAGAAAGCTGGAGGGGCTATAATAATACCAAACAAAGTAGATTTCAGAGCAAGGGATATTACCAGGGATTAAAAAAGTCAAGTCAATTTATTAAGAGGTCATAACAGTCATAAACATTTATACATATAATAAAGAGCTTCAAAATACAAAGCAATATTGCTAGAACTGCAAGGAGAAATCTCTATAGTTAGAGATTCCAAACTTCTCTCAATAACTGATTGAACAAGTAGACAGAAAATCAATAAGGATACAGAAGATATAAAGATCAGCTTGACCTACTTGACATTTATAGAACATTCTATCCAAGATCAGAAAAATACACATTCTTCTTAAGCGGACATAGAACATCTATAAAGGTAGTCCATATTCTGGGCCATATAATGTCTCATTCATAAAATTTCTAGGATAGGAATAACTATGGAGACAGAAAGAAGATCAGTAGTTTGGGGCTGGGAGAAGGAGCAGGAATTGACTAAATGGGCATAAGGAAACTTTTTGAGATGATGGAAGTGTTCTAAAACTGGATTTTGGTGATGGTTGCACAATTGTTTAAATGTAATAAAAACCATCTAACTGTATTCTTACAATGGATTAATTGCATGATATGTCAATTATACCTAATAAAGCTGAAAAAAGGGAATAAAAGAGATCTCTATTGAGTGACTTCCATTTATATTAATTGAAAAGGTATAAAATAGCATTTAGAGTGTGTTACCTTTGTGTAAAAAAAGAAAATTTTAAAAAACATACATATATTGGCTTATTTTTACAATAATTTAAGCTTACAATTAAATGGATAGATTTGGTTGCAGATCAGATGCATCTGAAGAGAAAATTAATGGACTAGAAGAATAAAGCATGGAGAGACAAAGGGGATAGAAAATACAGATGAGAGGGTAAAAGACATAGGGGACACATTAGAAAGTCTAAGATATGTGTAACTAGAAAAGAGAGAGAGAATGAAGAAAAGGCATTATTTGAAAAAATTATGATTATTTCTCAAAATAGTTGATAATGATCACAGCTTCAAGAAGCCCCATGAATCCCAAGCAGGATAATCTTAAAAACTGCCCAAGATTTAAAAATGCCTTATTTTCATAGGAAGAATAATTTAAAACAATAGAAGCCAGAAGATAATGAGTAGTTGCAAAATGCTGAAAGAAAATGCTATACCCAGCAAAAATACCCTTAAAGACTGAAAGTAAAATAAAAATGTTTTCACACAGAAGAGAACTAAGAGAATTCATGATCAGCAGACATAAAGAAGTACTAAAGAGTGTTTTTCAGGTGGAAAAAAACCAAATTTCACATGGAAACTTGAACATGAAGAAAGGAATTAATAGCAACAAAAAGGGTAAAATGTGAGTAATTTTAAATGAAGATTTATTATACAGAAAAAACATATCTTGTAGAGTTTAAAATATAGAGAATATTGAAATACATGGCAAATAAAACGGAAGGGGTAAACGAAGTTAAAATGTGCTACATCTTTGCATGTCTGGGAAGAGGGTAAAAGTAGCAAGTATAATTAGACTCTGGTATTTTAAGGATGCATGTTGTACTTTCTGTGTTAATTACTAAAAGAAGAGCAAAAGAGGGTACAACTGCAAAGACAAAAGAGGAGGGAAATGAAAAAAATTAAAAATAAACTTCATAAAAAGGTAAGAAAGGGACTTCTGGTTTCTGGTCTGGCATGTAAGGAGCTTGGAAGGTGTCACTCTGTCCTCACAACAAGAAAAAGGCTGAACAAATGAAAAATCAGCAACTCTTCTTAAATCCATCAGAGGATCAAGGTCATAGGACAAATTATGAGTGCCAAAATTGGAGAGACAGACAGGAGGACACAGAGAATCACAAATTATTGGAGCAGAAGCTTTCACGGGAACCAGTTACCTTGGAAGGAAAACTTAAGCTGTAATTGACAAATTGCTAGAGGTTCAGTGTGGAGAAGTTAGAGAGTTAAAACTCCAGGAGAAGCCAGTCATAGGGTGGCCTCTGTACTTTTGTAAGTTTTACCTCCAGAAGCCTTGCTAGGTTCTCACAGTGAAGATCGGAGAAAAATCCCCTACTGCTCTGGCAGCAAAAGGGGAAGAGTAGTCATTTTGAAAGAAGCCCAGAGCATCTTTTCTTCTTAACAAGGCCTTCTCTTAAGAGAAACTATTTGACTAGATCCTGGGGAGAGGGAAATACCCAACTCCAGCCCCCTCTAGGCTTCCACATAGTGAAAGGGAAATACCTAACTAGAGCCCTCTCTAGGCTTTCTGTCTTGCTTAAGAGGTAAAAATACCAGAAGTCTTTGTTAAGCTCACAGCATAGAAGCACAGGCTCACTAAAAAGCTGAGACCTAATCATAGGACTAAAGAACACTTTCTCTTCCTGTACCCCTTACCACTACATCAATAAGGATCAGGGGAATACAACTGAAAGAACTGTATGTCTCAGACCTTATTTAAGAAGAAGTCTCTAGGTAAATCAAAACACAACAAAGGAGGCAAAAATAAGGATGTCATAAGAAATTTTAGCCTCTGACACCTACAACCAGAGAAAACAGAAAACACAGCCTACCTCCTAGTTAGATACATAAAATCTCACATTAAAGGCCTATTTACCTCAGTTATTTTTACCCAGTACACCATATCTGGCTTTCAACAAAAAAATTAAAATGACAAAAAACACAGTTTGAAGAGACAGAGCAAACATCAGAACTAGACTCATATATGTCAGAGATGTTGGAATCATCAGACTAGGAACTTAAAACAACTATGATTAATATGCTAAGAGCTCTAATGGAAAAAGTGGAAAACATACAAGAACAGATTGATAATGCAAGCAGAGAGAGGGAAACTCTAAAAAATAAACAAAAAAATGCTAGAAATAAAAAACACTGCAACAGAAATAAAGAAAGCCTTTGATGGGCTCATCAGTTGGCTGGATGTGGTCTAGGAAAGAATCAATGAGCTTGAAGAAATGTCAATAGA